GTCAAAGATTATTATGGGTGATGGTGCTAAAGCAGTGGTGGAAGATAGGTTGCATCAAAGATTAAATGACATTGTTTATGTAATTTCCATGAGAAGAAACTTGATTTCAATTTCAATTTTATATAAAAGTGGCTACATTTTTGAATTTGGAAATGGAAAACTTGTGATTTCTTTTAATTCCATTGTTGTTGATTCAGGAGTACTATTGATGGATTATATATATGAATTTGAATAATATGCATGTTTACTCTATTGTTAACCATAAACATGTTAGGTCTAAATAGAACTCTTTTATAGTATAACATAGGCATTTGGGGCACTTTTCCAAAGTAAGAATTGAGATATTGATTAAATAAGATATCTTGCATAATTTAAACTTCTCTTATTTTGATGCATGGTGTTGTTAAACCCAGGAACATAAGCAAATAAATGTACTAATATATTGTATATTTATATTGATATATGTAGACCTGTTACACCTACTACCATGGGTAGACAAGATACTTTATTACCTTTATAGATTACTTATCTAGGTTTGATTGGATTGATCTTCTTTAAGAAAATTCTAGCTCCTTAGATCCCTTTAAATCTTTTAAAGTTGTCATTGAATTAAAAACAAGTAAAATGATCAAGAGTGTGAGGAGAATATTATGATAAATATGATGAGACTGGTAGAAATCCAAGACCTTTTGTTAGATTTCTTAAGGAATGTGGTATTGAAGCTTAGTATATACTCCTGAGTAGAATGAAGGGTAGAGAGGCAAAATCACACACTTTTAGATATGGTGATATGTATGATGAGCCCTTCTTCCTTTGCAAACTTTCTTCGGGAAGATTGTTTGAAGATAGTTACATGCATACTTAATCAAGTACCTAACAAATTTGTATCAAAAGCTCCTTATGAACCTATGACCGGAAGGAAGTCAATTTTAAAGCATTTTCATGTGTGTATAAGACCTTGTTATCCTCAAATAAAGAAACTTGATCTAAAGATAATTAGTGATTTTTTTCATTGTTTATTGTGAGTTTTCAGGGTAGCAAATTCAATTGTGAACACCATTTTTTTTTCTTTCCCACGATTGCTCTCAAAATTTTGTTTTTACAAACAAAAATATAAAAAAACTTGGAAAATAAGTTTGGCCCCTAGAAACAGAAATTTTACTGTGTACAAGTCTATACCCAACACCTAGTTGAGCTTTAAACACGAGTAATAAAAACTCAAGGATTTTTGGCATTTTGTAAAAATCTTAAAAAGTACAAAATGAAGATCAATATAAACAGAAAATAAGAGACTCAGAGGGGAGGGAACATTGAGAAAAAGGTGCATGAAGTTTTTCATTAAAAAAAGATAGTAAAGATTTGAAATAGCAACAAAATTTTGAAAAAACATTTTAGAGGAAGGAGCAGAAATTTTTAGAAGAAGACAACTAGTTTTTAAGAGAGAAAGCAAAAATTCTATGAGACAAGCATTTTTTAGAGGAGATCTGAAAAAAGAAGAAAAGAATAGAAAAAGAAATCGAGCTAAAAGAGAGGAAAGAAATAGCACCGTTCTAGCCACCCATCATCCTTCAATGTTGCTCACATCCGACAAACTTCTTTATCTTCTCCAGGTATGGTCATTGTTCATAAACCCATATTCATATAAATATGTCTCGATCCTTTTCAAAATGGTAGAGATAGAATAGAAACTGAATGGTAAAAATGGAGAGTCACAAACATTTGAATAAGTTTTTGTTTTTCTTTTTTATATTATTATTAATTTCAAATGAAAAGAATAGAAAAGTCAAATGTGATGTTGATTAACTTTAGCATAAGCATTTATGAAACACAATACATTTTACGCAACCTACTTGATAAAGCTTTGCCTTTTTTGTGGCATTATTTTATTCCTTTAAACATTTTATGGCATTTGATGGCATTAATATAGGGTGGGAGGCAAGTATTTAGAATGGTAGCCTGCAACAGCGATTGAATCATAGTTATTTTTTTTTCTATTTTTTATCTTGTGGTGCTACCAAATGCAATGAGACTTTGAACAAGAAAAATTTAAGCTAAGATTGGTGCTGATTTAGTTTGAAACTTTTCTTATTTTTACTTTATTTATTTATTTATTTATTATTATTATTATTATTATTATTTTAAAAATATTAGGTTTAACAAACTAAATCTAAAAAATAGGTAAATAAATAAATAATTTATGTCAAAATAAATAAAATAATATGAAAATAAAAATTCACATAATAATTATCACGTTATTGGTTATATTCGGCATATTTATGTATTTGTGAGTTATTATTTTTTTTGGTGTTATTATTCTTTACTTTATTGTATTAATTTTTAGAAGGATTGATGTAATTTAATTTTATATTCATGTTTTGATCTTTTAATTCATGGTTAATAAATTATATTTTAAATAAATAAAAAGTACAACATGTGCATCAATTTATAATACTAACATATAACTTCTCTATCGTCATATATTATAAATTGATAAAACATATGTGAATCAATGTTACCTTAGATTTTATATATCATCAATATATAAAAATTAAATCTAACTTCTAAAATTATTTGATTATCATTATTTTTACTATTATTAAATCTATTATCTATAATATTTTCATCATATTAATGTAACATTTTATAGTATTATTGTGTATATATCTCTACCTTGAAAACTAGAGGAAGTTATTTTATCACGCTAGTATTATATGTTGATGGTATTCTCTTCGCTATTAATTGTATTTAACTTTTGGCCGAGACAAAATTGATGTTGAGTAGTCATTTTAATACAAAGGATCTTCGTAATGCTTTAGTAATATTGGACATCCAGATTTAATGAGAGGTTACATGGCACTCTAGAAATATCTCAAAAAGGATAATTTGATAAGGTGCTGAAATAATTTAACATGCATTCTTGCTCTTCATGTGTTGCACTTGTTTAAAAAGGCGATAAACTCCCAAAATCCTCAAGATAACAATGAAAGAAATGAGATAAATAAAGTCTCATATGTTTCTGCTATTAGTAATTTGATATATGCTCAAGTTTGTACTCATCTCGATATTATTTTTATTGTTAATACTTTAGGGAGATATTTGAACAACTCAAGTTTAGGTCATTAGAAAGTCGTTGAAAATGTGATAAAGTATTTGCAGACCACAAAAGACTATATGTTGACATATATGAAGTTTGATAAACTTTATATTGTTGACTATTTTGATTTTGATCTACTTTTGACTATATATTTATGATGGCAAGACGAGTTATCTCAAACAAACTCTTAACTTTTACACACTTTCTTCTAATGTATCTATATTGCCAATTTGATAATAGATATTTTGTATATAACTTTTTATAGTTGTTTAGCATACCTGACTCTTTGAAAACATTTTCAATCATTAAGATAACAACAACATTAAGTTGAATACAACAATTATATAAATAAAAAATAATACACATAAAAAGAATGAATTCTCTTTTAAATGCATTTAAGTTATAAAATAATGTTAATAATTCTTATAATTATTGTTAAGATATGAAGAAGCTTTTTAAAACTAAAATTAATAAATTTTTATTTAATATCAATAATATCTCAAAAGAAAATTAGATAAATTAGTTTTTTTACTGAAAATAAAATGTTAAATAAAATTAATTATAATATATTAATAAATAATTTTCACAATTTTATTTTTTATTAGGAATTCATGAATATTTAATATAATTAAAAAAATTATTGATAAGTTATTTTTTTAATTTCACAATTTTCATTCAAGAAACATGTTTCTGTTGTACCTTAATTTGTTTCTTTTTGGTGTGAAACTAATGAAAAAAAAATTCATTCTTTTTTGTTTGAATCAATAAGCATTTTCTTAATTTTAATTATTCAAATGTAAAAGACATTATGCAATTTCTTTCAAGTTTTAATGAAAACCCAAATAAGCCGAGCAATAGAACAATAAAAGATTCATTTAGATTTCAGACACTTCACCGTTCATCGTTAGGAAGCAAATCGCAAGTATTATGTGTACGGTGTGTTAACATTTCTTATATTGATTAACAACGGAGATAAAATACTTCATATAAGATTTGAGCATACTTTTTTTCAAACTAGTTTTTTAAAGTGAATTTGGCTTAATTTTTCAAATCAATCAAAGCTAAGTCACTTGTAGATGTCTTGCAAACTTGCATTACATGTCTCACGTTAGCTAAAATTAGACTTATGATACTGGAGTAGAGAAATTCTAATAACATAATATTTTTTAATTATTGATTAAAGTTTATTAAAAATTAAAAAAATATATAGCTTTAATTTTTTTATTTTTAATTTAATTTTTTTCTTATATTTTTATAGTTTTCAATAAAATTTAATTAATAAAATTTAAAATGTATTAAAAACATTTTTTTATTATTTATTCACTTTAAAGTTTAAGCAAATTTATTTTGAATTAATTTTTTTTAGAAAGAGTTAAAGTAAAATTTTTAAGGTAAAATCTACCTTGTACTCTCTCTGATTGAAAGGATTTTATACCTTCATTACAAGTGATATGATTAAAAAAATTAAAACTCTTAATATAAGGAAGGTATAAAATATCGTTTACAAGAAATGTAATAAATACTAATTTTTAATAAGTATAATATAATATATCATTTATAATTAAGTGAATTTGATACTTTTCTTACATGTGAAACAATAATTAATTTTATATTAATAGATAATAAAATTAATAATTTAATTAAAAAATGTTAATACACTTTAATTTTTAAAATATTAAAAAACATTACAACTATTTTTAATGTTAGATGGGCTTAACCTACAAGGTAACCCGACCCAAGACACTTTCAGTTTTACACGTTGGATTAAGTCGGAATCGGCCCGACATATCAAGGCACGTGTCCAGGTGTAGAAACTTTACAATGTTTTTGGCCGTACCCGATCATCACGAAACATCATAAATCCAAAACGAGTCTCATATCCTCATCTTCTCCCTCGACCACTGTGGATCTCTCATAATATACTCTGCCAACCAAAAAACCCACCCAACCAACACACTATGATCATCATAGAACCTCCCATCGCCGTCCGATTCCACGCCGCCGCAGCCGCCGCCTCTGCTCGCTCCGCCGCAGCACCACCTCGTACTCTCTTTTCTTCTTCTTTCAATTGCATGTTCCGTTTTCCGAATGCTTTAAAGCTCAGCGGTTGATTCTGACTTTTGGAATGTGATATCTTGAGAAGTTCCAGTGACTTCCGAGAAACTAAAACGGCAACGTTTTGCAGTAATTAATAGTTCGAATGGAGTGAATATTGCTTGTTGTGTTGTGTTATGCATTCGCTTATTGACGCGGTTCTTTTGACAGATAACCGTTCAATGTGGGGCGCCGATGACGTGAACGGTTCGCGTTACACTGCGTCGTGCCGGCTCGCTTGTAGCTGCGGTTTCGACGTGCCATGGTATGTTAATTTCACAGTCTTCTTCATTTCTCGTGATATGGGGAATTTTGTTAAGTTGCGCACGCACTGCGATTACAAAAGTAACGGATAAACGTGGAAATATATGCTGTTGTTGCGGCGGCGGTTGTGAGAACGCTAAAACCATGATATTGTGTCCGAAATCAATTTTATTGCGTTTTCTTGAGGTGAAATACGTGTGATTGTTAATCTAATTTGTCTATGATAATAGCAATGCTTGAATGGGGATTGGTGTGATATGATGTGATTTTTTGTTTTTGAAGAACTCATCGGTAGGGTAGGTAGCGTTTATTATAGGCATTCAAATTAATAACCGTTTTGTTATTGAAAAAAAATTCATTTAGTACTTTTTTGTATTATCGATGTAATAAATGTTTCCTTCTCAGTAAAGACTAAAGAAAGACGCAGGCATGACACTCTTTATTATTGGTTAAATTTTATTAGAAATCACAAAAATTATCTGGGTTTCTTTCGTATTTTAATCATTCTTACTCCTACTTTTGTAATTTTTAATAAATTTCAACAATAAAGAGTGTGTTGTTAGCACTCGTCAATTAAAATGTATCATTTGTAGTTGCTTAGATTAGCTTTAAAGGTTGATGCTAACATTTTCCAATTATTAGTTGATGCTTGAAAAAGATGTGTGGATGAACAAATGCTGAGTGCTAATGGTTGAGTTGAGTTCGTGGTGAATGGTGTGTACCTAAGAATTACTCTTGTAGTTTTATCTAGATTTATGGGGATTGAAAAATTGTTTGCTTCCATATTTGATTCCAATTGTTATGTCAAATACTAATATTTCAGTTGGATGCACAATGGCTCATTAATGTAAAGCGAGATGGAATATATTTTTCATTTCTGGAGAAAGTTAAATGATGGGGCTCTGGGGGAGACCAATGTGCTTTAGAATAAGAGGAGTGTTAGAAACACACTCTTTTTAAGGCTAACATTTATTGAAAACTAAAAAATGAGAAATATTCATCAAATTAGGAATGAAAATCACTAAATAACGAGTGAGACCCACATGGTTTTTGTTATTTTTTTAATCACTTTTAGCCAATTATTAGGAGTGTGTTAGACAGAATGTGTTGTTAACATTTCTCATATGGATATACTGTTGTGATTGGACTGTTCGTTGGGAACTGATGGCTGCATGTTTTTAATCAATGTAAGACTTCTGGCTAACAGCATAATTGAAAAGTGTATTGATGAATTCAGAAAATGAATATTTTGTGATGTCTTGTTTAACCTGTAAATGTTTATGTTGAAAATTATGGCTACCTTTCATGTCTAGAAATACCAAATGTGTTTGAGGAAATATGTAATGAATGAATATAATCACACAGGGTAGGAAGTAAAAAATACACAGGCGCTCCCTTCACAAGAAGAAACAAACTCGTAAAGAATAGAATTACAGCATCATCAGAGAATCTGGGCTCAGCTCAAGATCCTGTAAAGAAAAATGAGAAGACATCCTATCATCCATTTGAGGAAGTTGCTGCATCAACATCAGAGAATAGTGGAGATGCTAGACTTACTGCAGCAGAAACAAGTAGAACAATTATTGAGGTACTCAGTTATATTAATTTTGCTAATCAATGAAATGACCTCACACAAGGTGCAGATAAAATATTGTAACATTTAGGTTTTCCTATTTTAGTGCTATATTTGTACAACAGAGAGGGAAACAGTTTGGATTAAATGATCACTAGAGATTATCATGTACACCAAAACTGTAATATTCTTATGTGAAAAATTAATGCAGGTGAATATAGATGTTAAAACCATAGCCAGTGTCTCCATTTCATTTTAGAAAACAGTGTTATATTCTCTTCTTTTTTTAGAATTAATTTATCAGTATCTGTCTTTCAAAACATATATAAATTTTAAAAATAAGGAAGAAAACATTTTATTTTGGGGTTTACAGTTTGGTGTGTAGCTAATCACCAGATAAATAAGAGAATAAAGGTCTTTTCCAGGGAATCATTCTTTGTTTTGGGATCCAGGTGTTAATTCAACTTTCTGAGCAAACTACTGCATAACCTGATTTGTTGACTTATGGAAGTTGCCAAAGTTGACTAGCTGAAAAGTTATGTCATGAAAAAAATATTAAAAATTTGTTGAGATTTTTCAAGTGTAAGTCATAATAATCCACCCAATTTCTTTTAACAAATTATTGAATATAGAAATATATTAACAGCATTATATTTGCATTCTAGTATTAAATATTGAACTCATCACACCTGAATTTATGTTCATCTTTGTAATGGTAATGCCAAAGATATCTTGATGTTCTGTTATATTAAATGCTGTAACTATAGAGGAAGTTGATTGGCAGTACTTGTTATTTTAAATTTTAACTGACTGTGAACTTTCAATCCTTTTACCCAAGCTCAACCCATGTAATGAAAAGGCTGAACTTGAGGGAAGAATTTGTAACAAGCATCTGATCAGTTGCATCTATTCTCATCATTACAACAGCGAATGTTAGCTAATTATGATTGTGGTATATCATTTTTAGGTTAACAGCAAAGCAACACTGATGTTCTCAAGTTTGATTAGTGATGAATTTCATGAAAATATTATTTGGCCAGATTTGCCTTATTTGACTGATGAACATGGAAGTAAGTAAAGGCTATACTTGATTGTTATTTATTATGCATTAATTTTCTTGTGCTTGGGATGGGAAGCTTCATCCATCTAATTAAATTCTATAAGCATTGCAGATATATACTTTCAAGTGAAGAATGGTGAAGATATTTTGCAATCCCTAACTTCAGAAAATAATTTTGTGGTATGTCCATGTCTCTTAACATTTTAGATAATGCCCTGGAATTTCTTTTCAAATACTTACAATCGGTTAACTTTAAGTCTGCTGGCATGCAATTTTATGCACTTTCCTTTCACTCACAAGTAGACATCTACTTGGAGGAAAACTTCACTCTACTTAGATTTGATGGTTCTGTTCTTTATGTAGAGATGACATTTGATTTTATGAACAAGAAAATCACAAAAATTGCCTTCATTCTCTCGGTGGTCATTCTGTTGACATCAATAAAACATGATTTGTGATATTTTTGGCTTCAATAATCAGTTTATATACTCATAGTTGTGTTTCATTATACTATTTGAAGCATAAACAATCAAGCCTTATCCATCATTTGTTTGCTACAAATTATTCAGCTCACTTTCCATCTTCCATTCTTTTTAATCTCTTAAGATTTTTCATTCTAGTCTCCAGTTCTTTTACACCTGGTAAAGATTTCATCTCATGACACGTAATAATGTTTGGTGTATGGATTGTCTGCTCTGTATCTTATTGTAGCAAGTCATTGTTGGTGTGAATTCCATGGAAATGATCTCTGAGATGGACCTATCAGGTCCTTCAGAAATTGACTTTGGGATTGAAGAAATTGATGATCAAGATACTGCGGATTTAGATGACAGCGATGAAGAGGATGAAGATGATGGTGAAGAGGAAGATGAAGATGAAGCTGAGAACGAAGATTATGATTCGGTCTGAACTCCATTTTATATCATTCTGAGGCTTATATTCATTTCTAACATCATTGGTACAAAACATTATCCCCTGTTTTTTATGTTATTGTTTGCAGGAGTGGGTGGCTGTTTTTTCAGATGAGGATGAGGAAGAAGATGATGATGAAGCACTTGAAGACTGGGCAAAATTGGAGACCATGCGATTTTCTCATCCAATGTACTTTGCCAAAAAGTTGGCTGAGGTATATATTAATGTCAAAATGTTCATGATATGAAGGAGTTAGGAATAATCTGATATGTGGCTTTAAGAGACCTCATTCTAACATCATTTCAATCACAATTTTTCCTAGGTTTATTGGTATGACTATCGATTGACTTTATTATTATTATTATTATTATTATTATTCTAGATTGCTTCAGATGATCCAATTGATTGGATGGAGCAGCCTCCAGCTTGTGTAGCTATTCAAGGGGTTATAAGACCTGCTTTTGTTGAAGAGCATTCTACAATACAGAAGCATCTATCTGCTAATCAATCCAGTGATACTGACACAAGTAAATCCACAGAAAGTAAAGGGGAAAGTATTGGTGTTATTAATGGTCATGTGCTTAATTCAGGATCTTCTGGAGATAATGCAGCACAGAGAATAGAAAATAACCGGAATAGTGATATCCCCTTTAGTGAGACTTCATTTTACAAATTGGAGATGATTAAGATTCAAGTGTTTTCTGCACAAGGACAACCTGTAAGTTTGCTGACTTGTATGTGTTCATGTGCACTTGTTTAGAGACAACACCATGAACTTCTGTATCACGCACCTTGTTCATATTCACCAATGCCGGTGCTCTACTTTGCAATTTGCTGAGTTCTTTAATGATAATTGTTGCAAATAAGCTTAGTAATAATTTATATATTTCATTGAAAAGGGTAAACTAAAGCAAAGATCGTAACATAATTTCTAAAATAATTTATAAATATTGACCTGAAATTCGGACTCAGAGTGGAATTTTTTTTCCTGCAACTTCAGTACTGAAAGAGGTGTCTCATCAGAAATGATCAATTTGTACCTATGCTTCCTAGTCTCTGCAAAGCAGTATAATAACTATATAATTGATGGAGCAGATACAAAAAAGAACATAGATTACATCAACAAATATTAGTTTTTATTGCCCCATGTTCTATGGTGTTATGAAGTTGTATTTCTCTAATTTTTAACTCAATTAGTAAGAAGTGTTAGACAAGTAGTGATAGTTTGATTGCATAGTTAGTGGGAAAGGTTTAAGATGTAAATTGGCTATCCTAAATCTGCATAATCTAAGAAAATTGCAGTGTGATGTGTTTAAGTGTATGTTATTTATACCTTTTTTTTTTTAAAAAACTATTTTTTTCTCTTGATTTTTTGCAGACTATTGTTGAATTCGAAGACTACATGAAAGCACAACCTGATGCTATTGCACATTTAGCTTCCAAAATCATATCTCGCTTGAAAGCTGGCGGAGACAAGACCTTACAAGCCCTTAAGTCCCTTTGTTGGAGAAGCAAGGGTATTCAAGTGGAGGTAATACCTAAATTCTTGGAATAATTTCTTTAAAAGCACTTTTGTAGATAGGTTTCTCTAAATATTTGCCTTGCCATTGCCAGTTGCGAAGTTAAATAGTTTGGCAAACAATTTTAGCATGTTTGGGGTTAGAGTCTTTGATACTTAAAAGTTCTCATTCAGTTCAGCCAAAACATAAGTTAATGCATATCTCTGACTCTGCTGCATTTCACTTCCATAGATGGCTGACACCTCAATCTTTATAAAGAAGAAACAGTGACTTATTATTGGACATCTATGTATTTTGAAAATAGAAATGACGATGAACCATTTGGGAAATTAATTACCTTGTCATCATCTGTTCAATTTTCTTGAAAGCGCTATACATTAGCATATGCACATTCACATTTGATACAGTCAATTATCACTTTGTTTACAATTTATTGCAGGAGGCACAAATTATCTGTGTAGACTCCCTTGGGTTTGACTTAAGAGTCTGTTCTGGGACTCAGATTCAAACACTGAGATTTACGTTCAAGAAAAAGGTACATCAGTTGTCTTTCATAGCTATAAATTTTAAATATACTTCATTAGTAGTTCTTCGATGTTGTACCTCCGAACACTGACATAGTCAAGCCAGGTGGAAAAATTGTCAGAATAGTACAGGCTAGGGGAGGGTGTTATCACCATGTCATTAAACAAAGGTTTTAAATGGATCCATTGTATTTAGATTATGGGCCTAAACATTTTTTGTTTTTAGTTTGACAAACACCGCTTAACGCTTCAAATCTTTCTACTGCGGTCTCGTAAAACCAGTTGAAATTTCACTTCTATACTGGTCTTTGCGTTATTTGCAATGTGCTAAAAGTTTGGCCTTCATGCACCATGTCTCCTGACTATAAAAGCAGTCCTACGTATATACCTTTTTTTGGAGGGGTATACAGATGTCCGATGTATTTTATTCCCAATTATTTACACTTATTAAATTACATCTGCAGGCCACGTCAGAGTACAGTGCTGAGAGACAGCTCAACGATTTACTATTTCCTAGAATTCACCCGAAGCAGCAAAAAATGAAGCAAACACATCAAAATGAATGCTAAATCATCTAAATGTCATATCCTCCATGAATTTTGTATGGCTTGTATGCCTTTGGCTTATTATTGTGTATAGAAGTGAAAGGCAGGGAGAAAGATCCCATGCAGATGCCAATCAGGTTATGTAATATGAATTGCATTTAATCATTAATTGGTAGTAATTTTTTTGCCTAGCTGCTTCCTTGGTGACCCCTGACTTATAATCTATTCGCTTTTACACTTCCTTTTTTGATTAATCTAATTCCTGCTAGTGCAAGCAAAGTAGAGGCATTAGACATGACTTACATGAGGAACAGATGAATCTGAAAGCCCCAAATACAAACTGATATATTAGTGACCCTTTCAAACTCTAATCCCATGACATAACAGGGTGCTGTGGTCAATTCAGTGGCACCTGTGGCAGCCAAAGTAAAGTTTGCCCAGTCCTGGAACTGGAGTTTCTAGCGTCATACTGCAGAGGACCAAGGGGGCAGAGGGAGGAATGAGATACAGCATATTGTTGATGAATTAGGGACATGATAAAGGTTGAAACATAGGGAGAGGTGATGGGAAGTGACTAGTGAGATGAAGTTAATGAAGCATGATGTCTCACCGGATATGAAAAGGTGGTGGTTGGAATCAGTTTTTGTTGGTGCTTTTTCTTTGTTCGCCAGGTTTGGAATGTACGCCATTGAGGATGCAGTGCCCATTTGTCTACTATTATTTTTGCCGTAACCATGAAAACTCACACAGCTGAGGCTTTTTGTCATTTGGCAAATTATCCTATTATCATAATTTTTTGCAACAGAAATGAGAAAAAGTGATATAATAGAATTATCTATTGGATATCACTTTTTCTCCACTTCTACGGCCACAGTACAGTAATCCGACCGAGAGGCTCGAACCAAGAAAGAAAATCGAAACAAAAAAATAATAAAAATTAATTACTAAAATAATATTAAATTCAAATTATTTTTTATTTAAAATTTTTGCGGTCGCGTCAACTCAACTGTCGCATCCTGAAAGAGCAATATAATATATTTTTTTAAAACAAGTATTGTTTCCTGCAAGAATAAAACGAATGCTGAAGTGACACATGTAGCAGTATTGCACTTTTTGAAGGTGTGATAATATTTTTTTAAAAACAAGTACTGTTTATTGTGGGGACGAAGGTACGGTATAATATAGCATTCATACAAAAATTGTTTGCTAATCATGTTATTTGTAGACAGATTTCACGTTTTTTTTAAATATAAAACAGTGCATAATTTTAGATATATATGATGATGAAGTAAAATGAACTTAAATTTTATAATTTTATATTTTTAATCTAAATGTTACAGGTGAGAAATTGAGAATTGAAACATCATTTTAAACCGTTATAATATCCAAAAATATAATTAAAAAAATTTGAAAACCAATTAAACTGAACTAAATTAGTTTTCAGTTCCTATTATTAGAACTAAACCAAACGACACTTATAATATATTTATATATTTTTTCTATTATGTTTTCATATAAATATATTTTTTCCTTAATTTTCACTTCTTCCGTTATCATGTGTTTATATTTGTGTCATAGTTATAGTAACTAAGACATATCTGTAGCTGTAATAAGAGAATTTGATTTATTATTTGTACGCATTTTTTGTGATTATAAATACTCGAATGTGTAGTTATATTTGACACAATATTAATATATGTATATGTTTAAAAACTTAATAAAATCACATTTCAACGTGAAAACTGTAACGTGTAGCATTTAAATGGATTCATTATTTGAGTGAATTTGAAGCAAAAACAAACACACTAGTACTTTCCTTCTATTAAGTGTTCTCTCTTTTTTTTTCCTCTAGACAAATCAATCATTCTTTCACACTTGCCTTTTCAATTAACATTCTTTTATTTTTTTGTTCCTTTTCAACCAATTCACTTTGATTAGTATACTCTTTAGTTTAAATTAAAAATCAAATCAAATTATATAAAAATAAATAAATCTCAGAAAAAAATAAATTTATTACAAAATAAATAAAAATAAATCTCAAATAAATCATAAAATGTTAGTTAAATATACTCCAGTTTTAATATATATTAAAACTAAATCACATGTTTCTTTTATATTTAATTAAAATGACATTTTGAGAAAAAATCGAACACTCAATGTAAATTTTATCTAAGCAAGTTTAGATAATATGGAGCACAATTGAAATAAAAGCACACAATTTTTTCAAAATTTGGAATTTTCTTCTTTCCTTCTTTTAACAAATATATCCTTTCCCAAAAAGAATAAAAAAAAAAAAGAGGCGTAATCCTTACATTATTTATAAAGGTCCAAATGTGCTAATTTGATTAAAAAAAAATCAATTTTTAGATGCTCTTTTCCAATCCGGCAATTTTTGTCGTTTGAACTCTCGTCTATGTTATTTTATAATGGAACATTCTATAATTATTTTTTTAAAGCATTTTTTAAAACTAGATAGGCTCTTAGAATTTAGTTGAAAAAGTCAACAAAAAAACACTTGATTAAAAATTTAAACAAGAATTAGTTTAACCAAAATATTGTTTGACAAAAATCACACATTAGCTATAGAACTGAAAATATATTTAATCGAACGTAATATATATATATATATATATATATATATATATATATATTTTTTTTTTTTATATATATATATTTTTTTCCAGAAAATTGATCCACCTTATTTGCATTATAGTTACGGTAAAATTCTTCCCAGTACAATTGCGTTTTCATGATTCAAATTCAATATTATTATTAGTCAAGTTAGAGTAGTTTCTTACCAGGTAGTCAAAACTGACAATTTTCTATAAATTATATTTCAACAAGATCCAAATAGACACGGTTTTGAAATCCTTTACATTATATCCAAAACATACACCTAGACAAATCTTCAAATTTTATTCTATACAACGGGGAATGATTCTAACAAAAAGGCTACAGGAATAGTGATAGGGTAGACTTCCTAGTTCCAACAAAACAATGACAAAATAAAAGGCCAGACATAATCATTTTGTTTAACTAAAGAAAGTCAACAATTGGATAGAAACGGCAAAAAGAACTGACCTGATTACTTCACCGCAAATGGTTACAACTTAAAGAATGTATAGCTCCCGTGCGGAATCAGTTGTGAAACTAACTCAGAATCCTCCTCAAGCGCTTTTTCTATCTTTTTAAGATCATTCCACATGATTCCTATGTTGCTTGTAGTATATTTGTGCAACCTGCTGCTTCTCTGGTTTTAGTTATATCCCTGAAGCTATTTGTTGATCCCACTAGTAGAAACACAGCAAACTCTATGCCCATCCACCATATGATTAGAAATCGTACAATGGAGAGACCCACCAATTATTAGGAGGCACAAAATACTGGACACTGGTCAGAACTCCGCTGCTAACATCCTGAATTAACTGAAGCAGGTCAGTTCAACCTGGGATGCAGTCCTTTCTACAGCCAGCCACCATTCCTCGTCTCCATCATCAATTTCCTCCTGCTTTTAACATATTTTATGAAGCTGATATTCAATGTTATGTTCATGTAAACAATTAAGATAAATAAAACACCTTCAGCGCAATCGTGCTCTAGGAGAAAGGGTCATTCTTGAGATAAGTTAAATAAGTAGATTTTGCGACTTTGACCCACATTTATAATGTAAGGGTCTATGGTCTATCCATATTTCATCCACCACGAAGGTCTAATAAAGATATTCATGATACATCGGTGTGGTAGAATCAACATGAAAGGTGGAAACTGGTCGATTTCTTACATAGTCTGTGTCACAATTGCAAGTTTGCAATAATTTAAATACGTAACTTTAGAGGATGCATTACTTAATTTTTTTCACTAGATATTTTATTTAGTCAATAGATTTCAGTTAGTAATGGACTCACGCCAACACAACAGTCACTCAGGAACACACAAACACCTCTTAAGTCTTAAATCACTTTTGATCCTTAGTTTCATTTCAAATGGAAATTAAAAACAGTCACTATAGTCTTCTAACTGAACAAATTCTAGTGTCTAAACACATAGTCACTGTCTAAATAAATGGCTGGGAATGGGCCTCAGTCCTACTATCGCTTATGGCTCTAAATGGCAGGGTTTAGAAGCAAGATTAAGATGTACTTAGTATACTAACCATAGTTTGCTTATTCTCAACATCCTCAACAACTCTTATGGCTTCTAGCCACCAAGAATCATTGGAGTTGTCCTCAACAATATCTTCATATTGTAGAATATTTTGTTTGTTATCATCAAGTTGATGTCTCCATTCATCATGTACTGGCTGTTTGTCATCCAACAACCCAAACGAATCAATTACAACTGACGGATTGGAGAACACATGAACTGGGATTTGTCGCAAGGGAGATCGGTAACCTGTATCCAGTAATTAATTAACATGTTAAAAGAGGATGAAGAATTGTGAGCGAAAAAGGTCTTCAAGCACTTCACTGTAAATATGTTAACCTCTGCAGTCAGGATCATGACATTTCTGATAATATACTGCCCTCCGTAGATCAACAACGTATATCACTGGACCAGTAAATCATCAAATGAATGAGTATGTTGCAATCAGATAATAGACAAGGTGCAACCATACTTCTTACTATACAGAAAAAAGAGAAGCATCCAACCCAGACTTCGCTAAATTTACAGTCCTAATCATAATACAGGAATCTCTACCCAAAAAGCCAAAAACTGATTCAAGACTCGAGTGGGGATTTAACATTAAGACATAGCCAGCAGTTCTTGGAGAAAAATTAGGAGAGTTACCATTATTGCTTTTATGCTGTCTGCCAATTCGCTCACAGTATCTATTTTTTGTCATGCTGTAGACCATCAGTCCAAATTCCGAGAAAAAATACCAGCTATGAATTTTTCCTACAATTGAGAAGAGTATCAACAGAGTGAGTAAGATTATACTGAAATCTAATGCTTGAAAATTTACGCACAGCATGAAACCAAATATGAATATTTAGAACTACAGATAAAACTGAGTGGAATGTGGATAAACCCATAAACCAAAAAATGAATAAAATAATTCAATGCCATGGAGAATTCTTCCCAAATGAAGACAAAAGGTAGATTGTCGCTGGATTTGAAAGAGCAGAGTCAAGTAATAATCTAAAATCTCAATTCAACAGTTGAGCTTGAGACCATAGAGATAACAAAATGTATTTAGAAGAGACGGTGATAAGAAGCTTTTAGGACAAAATAAATAAATAATGCAAAGTCACAAACTGCCTATTCAAAAGATCTCTTCATGTTCAAGGAACATTCTTTTGCTAACATATGCTGCAGAACTGAAGTTTTATTATTGTTCCGAGAAAGCAATAAAATTTCAAGAGTAATCATATTTGGATGTACTTTATTCTCATTAACATCTCATAGAGTCCAAGGGAGAATGATATGGTGGACCATTAAAACACAAAAGATAAAGTGGGAACAAGGTGTCATCCAATGGATCGCATGGGACTCAAGGGCTCATGAGACTAAATTAATTATATTCAAACTAGTAAAACAAATAACAATAAAAGCCTTATCCCACTTAGTGAGATCAGCAACATGGATCACACAAAACATTGGACTTGGTCAAAAACCAAATTCTCATTGGTGAACCGGATGTGAATCAAAATAGTAAAGCAAAGTTGAAAGTTGAAGCAAAATCAAACTTATTAAGTAAATGAATTTACTTATACAAAAACATGTTTAAACTTTAAAGTCAACATTACATTGACACATATACCTGGTATACTCCCGACAGAGGCAATAGATAGTATAAATTTGTCCAGAAATGGGAATGGTGACTTTCCCATAAAGTATGTCATTGAAGCATTGGTTGAGCAAGTATTCAATGTAAATTCTGGAGGAATTTGGCAGGAATTTCCAAGATTACTATTCACCTGTTGAAGTCAAATAAGTATAATCATTAAGCACTCCGAAATATAAATTTAAAGGAAGCTGCTCTGATGGCCAGTTATTGGCTATTTGCATGGTAAAGGTTTGTGAACAAATTCATATTCAATGCCAAGGTATCGGTCTAGGTTTGACATATGCTAATCTCTATGCTTAGTAATCTTATTACAGACTTGACATGATACAACCTTATGCTCCAGAAAGGAAATTAATTTTGTGTGTTGAAAGATATGACGACATTCAAATTCTGAGTAGTAAATATCTTGGAACTGAGATGAAATAAATGTGTGATGCAATGGAAGATTTATAAATTTAAAGCTCAAATCTACCTCTGTATCAAAGTGCAGAGTTTTCACACAATCTAAGTCTGTTTTGCAGACCAGGAACTTTTCGCAATCAACATCCATATTGCAGATCAAGGAAGCCATGAACATGTCTTCTTCACCCTGTCACTTAAAGAAGCCAAAACCAAAAATAACCAAGTGACAAAAATGTATAAAATTAATAAAAGGCCGAATGAGAACATATGATAATGCATATATTTTTTACTTTCCTTGCATTGGATATGATCCTAGAACTGTCTACAACAGGAAATCTTAGGTGATTAATTGACAATATATGCTATTTTTCTTTAATGGTGATTGATTCTTTTAGGGGAGCTCAATGTCCACATAAGTAATGGTTATTCAACATGACAACATTCCAGTTCAGCCCTTCTCTACTCTATGCAAAGAATAGTCTGTAAATACTGAAACTAGACATTTCAATCTTCATGTAATTTTTTGTTAGGAAAACCCTTCTTAATAAGCACTTGTTTGGTTCGGATTTTTTTTGAGAAACAAACACATTTTCCAAAAGTTTTCTCAAAAGGATGATAAAAATAAACAATTACTTTTCTAGAATAAGATGAACAAGATACGCACTAAACTTATTTTGATGGCATAATTTGAAATAGTGATATTAGTAAGAAAAGTGCCATACCAAGCTATTGCACTTAAATCGCTTGGTTGGCAGAAGAACTGAACTTTTTCCAGCTTTTGAAGAAAGAAAAAGACGGAAACAACGGTTCCGAGAATATACAGCAGAATCCACAAAAAGTTGTCCTGCAGATTCATTGCTGCTTGAATCTTTCATTACAAACAATTTTTCAAAACTTCTATCTTCCCTCCTTCCATTTAGAATTCTTGAGCATATCTGGTAATATGTCATCATAGAGTAACAATAGTTAGTTGACGCTTCTACAAAAGAAATATCATAAAAAAACATTTTATAACTACAAATTTCCATTTTTATTAGCAGAGAATAACATTTTCATAAGAAGTAATTCACATTAAATCATTGATAATCACTGAATACAAATTATTTACAAAATCACCCTTTGATTGTACACGTGTACATAGAAAGGAGAGGAATCTCAATATTTGATACAAAACCATCCCAATCCAAATTTATCGTTAGCTAAGATGGAAACAGATGAGTATATTCAGACTTACTTCTGAAACAAATGCACCTGCATGAGAGTTATCCTTGAAAGCAGTCTTTGGTATGCGAACTATTAGATGACGAGAGAACTTATCTGCAAATGTGATAAATAAGAGATAAGAGATGATAATGATAAGGATCATCACATGGGAAAAATCAGAACTGATGTCTTGGCAGTACCAGTACTAAACAATTGCTCTACTTGTAACAGTTCTTACAATGTTTTTGGAATTAATGAAGAAAACCTTGCAGAAGAAATTTGAAATTGGTGAAGATGTCTATTGCTTCAATGGTTACATACAATGATAGAATTCACAGAAAAGGGAGAAGAATTGAAATCTTTTATTCAAGAAAGAAAAAATCATGTATAATGAGTACCCCAGAGCAAGCTCCTTAGAGAATCATCTCTGCCAATGGTTCTAACCAATTTCTAAAACTGACTCCTAACTAATGCCTTTATGCTATATATTGTTAAGGTGAATAACAGAAAGTAACAGAATAACAGAAAGTAACAGCTAACTACAAACTAAACTGTTTTCTTTTTCTAGAATAGACTATCCATGGTTTAGCTTTAGCTGTTGGAACGTTATTTTCAACAATATTAGGATTAGGAGCAGAAGTCACTTGACTCTCAGTACTAACATACAACATATGTAAAAGAAACCTGAAGAAAAACCATACCTTCAGTTGAAGAATCAAGCTCTACTACCCAGTCTTGGTCTCCATTAATTCCATATTTTTCATCTAAGGCTTCTAGAACTACTGATATCAAGAGATCAACCATTTCATCTCCATTCTTTCCCATGTTGGCTCTCTTGTTGAACTCCAAATCAAAATAAAGGTGGCATGGTAATCCCTGGGAGGAAAGAAACTTTTAGACTGGAAAAACACACATGAACACACACCTAGATTGCTCATACTGTAACTACATCCCCATTTCTCCAGATAAATCAGTGAACATAAAACATACAAGATTATTACCTCTTGGATCACTTCATAATGATGACGGAATTTGGAATCCATATTCTTGTACCTGAGAGTACAGTCATCAGCAACATAAATATATAGACACGAGGATCTTTGTCAATACTGATTAGTTGTCAATGACGAACCACATGAGAAAGGAAAATATATGAAGGAAACCTTTGCCAGAATTCTGTGTATGTAGACACAAGGAACCTTCTTTGGCCATTAAAGTGGTCTTGATAGCTGAAAACATGAACATCTTCTTGTCCTTTGGCAAACTTCATTGCTTCATCCTGTCTTGGGAATGTGATCCAAACATCCTTCCTAGACAAACACAAAGCAGGATTCAAGTCATATTCTGATACATAAAGTACAATAAGAATTAAAAGATGGAAACGGTAAACGGTAGAACCAGCATCCGCCAAGCACCTTAAGTTCAATTTATTTTGCTGGGAGAAATCAAGACGTATCTCATGTAGCAATCGCCATAAACGGGTTGGCTTTTTGGGAGGCACACCACGAGGAGATCCATAAAATACAACTGGAGAGATCTGCTTCCCACGACTGAAGCTTTTGGATTTGGTTAAAGCTGATTTAAGCTGAAACAAAAATGCAAGGTAATTTGGTTTTGATAGAGTAAGAGCCAAAGTTGTATGGACAACGGTAGAGTTACAAAATCTTAAAAACAGAATGGGGTATAAGAGGATGCAATGTATTACATAAACATAAAAAAAGAAAAAAAAAAAAAAAGCAACTAAACTTGGAAGATAAATACAATTCCATAACATTCTAACTCCAACTTTCAATCAAAATTTCATATGTTATATATCAAGCAAGAAAAAGGCACCTAAAGAGGAATTACTATTGCAACTCAGCAATTTTTGTTTTTGAAGTAAACATAATTCACAACCACGTATACTCAATGCCACCATATACAGAATAACACCCAATATTGATAAGCAACACTTAAAAGTAGTAAAGTATCAATGCATCATAAGCACAAGTGTTGTACTAGAACAAGAGAAATGCAAGAGTGCAAGCTTTGTTTGCAGCATCAAGTAAGACGCAAGAATTAATCACTTAATTACACCACAAAAGGAAGAGAATCAATTTATTAATAGCAGTAATTACATTACTTTCTCAACGGAAGACTCCTTGTCCGTTTTTCTGATGCTTGTCACGGGGGTTTTCAGTTCTGATCCAACTGATCCTGGACTTGGAGATTCCCATGGAACCTCGATTTTCGAATTCCCTTGCTCCATTTTCCTTTTCCTTCTTTTTCTTTCCCTCATTGCGGACTCTGAGACAGCAACACATTTCAAATTTTCTTTTCAGTTTTTATTTTCATGTTTTCATGCTCAACAATGTTAAAATAATCAACAATATTAACAAGAATTTGAATTTCATATAGTTCCTAGGGTTCGTTTTTTGCTTTTCCTCCGCAGAAAAGCAAAAAGAAGGAAAATGGAGGGGCATACTGGGAGGGGTTAAACCGCACTTGAAACATGCGAACAAACGATCAACGTCGTCCATGTTGTTGGTGTTGGTGTTTGTGGTTGATGACATTTTCGTTTGCTCTGAGAAATGAAAATTTGATCTTCGACTCGGGAATTTCTGAGTTTTCTTTCCACTTTTTCAGTTGGAGGCGGGAATTTGAATTTCGGGGAAAAAAGGAAACCGAATACTCATCGAACCGGTTCGGCTTATACGGTTCGGTTCGGCCTGATAAAACATTGGGCCCAAAATGTTAACCTGGCCTAAAAAATATTGCAAGAAGGATCAGAGCGGCCCTTGTTTTTGCATTTAGAATTATTTTAAGTACGGACAATTCTTTTAATATTTTTAAAATTAAAAAAATACTTATATATTTTTAAATAGACTATTAATTTTATTATTAATTAATATAAAATTAATGATAATAATTATTTCACATATAAAGTATTTTTTTAATTTATAAAACATCATAAAATTTTATACAGTATTTATAAATTAAAATATTTTATATTTTTTATTAACTATTATAATTATTTTAGTATCTTAAAATTAAAAATATTTATATATTTTTAAAATAAATCACTATATTATTTATTATAAATATTTAATATAAAATCGAAAGCAAACAGTTATTTTATTTCGTGTTTGAAAGAAATACTCTTAGATTTACAAGGCCCTATGTGCACCTTTCTAATTATTATTTTTTTTTAATTTTTGTTTTGGAAATATCCCTGTTAAAAATTTTTGTCCGTTCACTGCTGCTCTGCTCTTATGTTTCTCTCATTTTTGCCATTTACTAACATCTTCATTGTCATTATCTTCCTCTCTAGCGGCAGCTCCACCGATAACTCACTCTTCCCACCGCTACACCAACATATTTGTGTGATTCTTGAATGGAGGTTAGTTATTTATCTTGTTTAGTATAGTTTCTCATTACCTCTCACTGGAAAAAAATGGCTTCGAATAGGTGAGGAGTATCGTCGTCCACGGCTTATAAAAATTTATTCCGAAAGTAAACTTTCTAAAAATTAATTTGTGGAAGTATGTTTAATAGGTTTCCATAAACAAATTTCCAGAATTTTATTTGAAACTGAATTTCAGAATTTAAATTCCTTCACTTTCCTAATCTCTGTGTTGCTGAACATTGGCTTCGCTGTGGTTTTGGTTTTCTGCCACTTCCACTTGTGTTTTGGTTTCATTCTTGCCTGTGAGGTGTTTGTGTTTATGCCTTGTTTTTGTTTTGGGATTGCAGAAAGGTGGTGACCGTTACTAAGCACAGGTAATGTCCTGTTCTCGTTTATGCATTTTATTCATCATTTGATGAAACTGTTTGGTCACTCGTAACTCGATGTGAACTCAGATATATCTTCTAATGTGTCCTCATTGTTCTTCATTTTGTAATTTAAATAAATGGTCTTCATTGATTTGGGCTTAAATTTGTATTTTTTTTTTTTTAATCATTGTTATCGCTGTTTTCCTTTTTTTAGTGAGTACTGAGTAGCTGATCTTGTTTAAATTTAAGTAATAAGACCATATGAAAGCATGCCAAAACTGGTCGAAGCTAACTAGAGACAGGTTTGGGTCATGCCTTCTACCATGATTGGGTTGCAGTTGATGAACTTGTTTAATTCAGGCTAGTGAGGGAACTTTTATGGTTTAAAATGCCAAGCCTGGAAACTGTACCCTAATGAAACAAAATATTGACAAATGACAATAAATAAAATATCATCTCTCTCTTATAGAATGATCTATAATGAAGCATATGTATTATATATATTCTCATTAGATACAGTTGAGCATTTGCGAATACAGCTGAAATGTGCTTAAGTTACTACTGAACTCTTCTTTAAATACTCCTTACCTCAATGGAAAAGGAGTTGTCGGTCTCCAAGTTTCCTCAAACTACTCCAGGACTATGAAATCCCTGATTTTCTTTGGTTCACCAATTTCTTGTCTTGAACTTCATTTTAACCAACTTTTATATTTTTAGAAAATTATTGTTTGATGTGCAGCATTTTGTACCATTATTATTAGATTTACATGGACTGTGACATTTTTTGTCTGTTTAAGTCCATTTATGTTTATGCATTTCTTTTAACCCTTTTTTCAGTTCATGGATCATTCAACATGATTTCCCATAGTTTCTTTGTTTGGAGAAGGTCAATGATTCAAGTCATATGCTTCCCTGTGCTGTCCATGAGTGTATTATGGCTTATTTCGAAATTCTTGCAGATCAGATATGAGGATTTGAAAATTAAAGTTTTTGCAAAATTCCCTTAAGCTTAAGCAAAATTAGGGCATCTAAAAACTCAAAACAGAGCTTGTGACTCTAAGCAACTTGTAATGAATTTTGAAGTCTGAAGTTGAGAGCAATATGTTCTCATTTCTCTCGAGTTTGGAATCTTTCCATCTATTTTTATATGAATTTTTTTTTTTTGAATTTTTTGTTGCCAGGTAGGTCAACTCACATTTCAGACAAAATTTCAGCCAAATTTTGTTTGGACCCTTGATCAGGTTGGTTGCATTTTTATTAATGCCATATCAAATGTAAATTTGGAATATGCATGTCTTCATTGCTGGAAGAAATAAATGTATTGTGATAGGAGAAGCTGCAAGTTTAGAAATATGGCTGTTGATACTTGATCCTGCTAGAAGTTCTTTAGTGCTTTTTGTTTTCCTTCTAAAATCTATTTTACAGTATGACATGTTCCAATATAAAACTGGATTTACCCTTCTTTTTGCAGTAGTAGACATTTTTTGGGACTATTTTTGTTCAAGAAACAGAGAAATTAGACAGCTGAGTAATGGAAGGGCTTTTTTGCACACTTTAAAAAATATAGGGCATCGTATTGCACACTTTCAAAAGTCAAGGTCCAAAGTGTACATGAACAAATATACTGGGGAGTAAAATTTTAACTTTTCCCTAAAGAAAATGATTTTTCTGGTTTTCTCAAAATCATTAACAATTATTACTTTTATACATCAGGTTGACTGGCACCTTAATCTATGTTTATGTTACGGTAAGAGAAGGTGAATTATTGAGAGTCTGTTAAAAGCAAGGTTCATTGGAAATTATTAAAAAAAAAAAAAAAACTAGCTAAATTGCTTGTCTTCAAAATGATTATACTGAAAGCAATTTTCACGCCATTAATTGTTTTTTATGGGAAAAAGTTCCCACCAAGATCAAACAGGCAGTCATATAAGTTGTAAAAGCATAATCTTAAGTGCCTTATTTAATGCTAAAATTAATTTACCCCTGGACTATTTGTAAGTCCTAGTAATTGTTTATGTCCTTACGATGTTGTCTTCTATTTTAGAGTTTCTCAGGTCCTGAAGATGTTTGCACTGACAGATTCTCCTCTACTTATTGCTAAAACATTTGACTCAATTAAAATATCAACAAGTACACGAGGCACCGTGGTAAGATACTAAGGTCTATGGTTATTTATAAACCAAAATTTTCAGGACGGAATACTTTTACCTTCCAATTATATTAGCTCTAGGAAATGAAGCGGTAGGTGAGTTTGTCTGAATTTCTTTTTTTAATATCAGGTATGTGCTGCAAAAGGTCCAAGACCAAGATATCCCCGAGTATGGAAGACCCGTAAAAAGATTGGGACCATTTCCAAGGCTGCTAAGCTTGTTAAGTCTGTAAGTTCTTCCTTGCTTTCCCTGTATTAATTTCTCTCGTTAACCTGTTAATTTAAGCTTCATTTTTTGTTTACTCACTGATATCTGAATAGTTGTGAGTTGTGACATTCTCATTTTGTTCAGAAACTTTCAGATTCATTTTTCTTGGATGTTTTGCATTGGAAAAGTAATTTTTATAACATCTTACACAGATTAAGGAACTGTCAAATGTCAAAGAGGAAGTTTATGGAGCTCTTGATTCCTATGTTGCTTGGGAATTAGAGTTCCCTTTAATTACAGTGAAAAAGGCACTGAAGACCCTAGAATATGAACAAGAGTGGAAGCGAGTAATACAGGTACTTCAAAAAAGAAGTGTATCCTCATTAAGTTTTAACATTCTTTTTCCTTGTATTGCAAAACTCTTGTCTTTCTTCTATGTTGCACTTATCCTTTGCTTTGGTATCTCTAAAGATAGATGCTCAGCCCAAATTTAGTTTGTTTTCCATGTTTAATTCAATTATTTTTCTCTTTTCTTCAAAATGACTTCTTTAGCTGCACATTCCATCTGAGGATAGCCTATGAACTAAATATATCAGTTTATGCAAATTACGTTTGGCACTTTAGGTAACAAAATGGATGTTAAGCAAAGGTCAAGGAAAGACAATGGGAAGCTATTTCACATTACTTAATGCTTTAACAGAGGATGATCGTCTTGATGAAGCTGAAGAGCTTTGGACAAAGTTATTAATGCAGCACATGGAAAGCTTGCCTCGTAGATTTTTTGATAAAATGATATCTATCTACCGTAAGAGAGGCATGCATGAAAAGATGTTGGAGGTATTATGATTTGAGATTTTGAATAGTAGTTGTCAACTTTACACGTTCCTATATTAATATAACTAGATGTTTACTTTATACTAGGTACGTCAGACTCAATACATCATGGATATTCACTTCTTGATTTCTCCTGTAGATATTTGCAGACATGGAAGAGCTTTGTATTCGACCTAATTTTGTTGTTGTCTCAATGATTGGAGATGTCTTCAAAGAGTTGGGTATGCTAGACAAATATGAAAAGTTACATACAAAATATCCACCACCGAATTGGGAATATAGATACATCAGAGGAAAGCGTGTAAAAGTCAAGGTGCAAGTTCAGTCTAATCAGGTCAACACATACATAGAAAGGCATAAGAATGTAGAACCAAATTCGGACTTAGATGGGAATTGTGAATCTGGAAATACATCAGATGTAATCGATGAGGAACAATCCGAACAGGATGCCGAACCTGAACAAATTTCAGATGATTAGTGTGACGACAGTATGGAACCAGTTTTAGAGGTGTAATGCGAGAAAAATGATATAAAATCACTGTCTGTACGTTTCAGTTTGCAGATAGCCTGCTGTTAATCACAGTTGGAACATCATTTACTTGCCCATCTCCTTCAAGTTACTAGGAGATAGAGTGAAGGCATCAAGATTCTGCTGTATGCACTCTGATGAGTGACCTACTGACCTGCTACACTTGTTGAATACACCACTATCATTCAATTTTCTATTTGATAATTCAAAACTTCTACTCCTGACTTCCTTCGATCATGTCATTACTGGTATTTGATGGTACATATATACTCAAGCCATTGATCTTAATGATAGACCACACATATAGAGTGTTTGTTCCTGCAACTGTGTTCTTTTTCATTTATTTCCCTCTGTATATAGTGCCACCTGTTTCCTGAAAAGTACATTTTATTCAGTTTCAACAATTCAATTTTTTAAGCCCTACTTAATGGAAATTAGGCTTTATATGCTCTCAACACAAGACCACATCATGGAATCATAAAATCTAATTAATATGAATTTCTTTGATCAAAGAGCTAATTTGGTGAGGCATGCTGTGTGTGTATATGTATATATTCTACATAAGTCAGTCCACAACTTGGAACAGAAAAATAATGACTATTTAGTGAGAGAGAAAAGGAAAAATATATGGATAATATATGATGCGATAAGAAGATAATAAAAAATGAAAGTTAAAAAAACATGGGTGTATAAATATAATTAGTTTGGATTTGAAACAATTATACTCACGAGGATAATTATTTAAATTTGAAAGTTAAAAATAAAGCTAAATTTTCTATTTTTATATATTATTTTTTATTTATATTATGTGTATTTTTTCATAAGAATATATAGCATGACGTGACTAGCTTTATTTGGGGGATGAAGTTTTTTTATTTTTCATTTATAAGATTTGAATCCGACACCTTATTTAAATGAGTGATTTTAGGAATTATCTTAAATGATAATAATTTTTTATTTTTATAAGAGATAAAGAAATATTTTTTAACTTCGTTACTTTTCTCATTAAATCACGTGCTTTCTCATGTAATAAATCTTTAATTTTTTATAATTGTAATTTTTTTTTCATTTTATTTTTTAAATCTTTTCTTTTCTAATTTAGTCCTATTAAAAATAATATAACATATATTATTATTAATAAAACATTTACTCTAGCAAAAAAAAATAGTATAACATTTACTCTTTTTTAAAGATAAATTTTTTGATTTAAAAAGTCATAAAATAAAATTTTAATTAGTTATTAAAAATATTTATGTAATGCTCAAGAAATTCAATAGTTATAGAGAATTTTGTTGTCACAATCAATTACAGTTATAGGAAAACTGATATAATAATGACACAAGTTTTTGTTGTTTATCTTCTTTGGTAGATGTTTGACTTGAGGGAAGAGAGAGAGTGCTATTATAGATAAAATACAGGAATCAATGTAATTAAAATATAATGGATTATGTCAATTCTAGAAGTATAATTAACAAGATTCTAGAATTAAAGTTTCAATAAGCTTGTAAATTATTCTTTTGAAAACCTAATTCTGGAAGCTTCTTGCTTTTGCAAATAAAACTTTATAAAAAGATTTTTAAACATGATTTTTCATCTAAACCTTAAGAAGATTAATGAAAAGGATTGATGAAAGAATTTGTCATTAACCTATATACAATTATTCTAACTTTAATAATTGATAGATAAAGAGAAAAAGATAATATTATTGTAATGAGATTATTTCAATTGTATGGATTAATTTAATTGCATAAGTTAAAACATAGATCATTGTTATATTACTTAACTTTAAAAGATTTAACTCTAAAATTAATAAGGATATTTATAAAAAAAACAAATTATAAAAATAAAAAAAGGTTGCAAATAAAAAAAAGGGTGCAAATAGTAACCTTCCATCAGAAGTTGCTGCATTTCTTCTTAGGGCAGAACTAAGCAGGTTGTAGCGAAAATTGAACCAAAAAAGAAAGAAAGAAAGAAAAGAAAACTAACAAAAAATAAAAATAAAAATAGACAGGTAATTTTGTTTTATACATTAATAGTTATGAGATAATATATTAATAATACTTTTTAATAAAAAAAATTTAGCGAGTATCCCAAGATACTAATATATGAGACCTAAACTAAAAGACAAAGCTGGCTTTAATGGCATGGTTAGATTATAATTTGCACACTGCAAACCTAATTTAATTTAAATACAATTTTGTTCACAAACTATATAATTATGATTATAAAATATATGTGAACTAAAATTTGAGTCTCAAATCATAATTTAGATAAAAAGAATTTTTTTATTATATAAAACCGTAATTCATAAATGATAATAACTAAAATTAAAACGTACTTTAAGTCATTTGGATTCTTCAGCAATAAGGACTTATTTTATTGTATATAAATTTAATTATCCATCCATATAAAGCTAGTTTTTATGTATGAGATGCATTTATTCGACTTTTGCCATTAAGGAGCATGCTTTTGCTCATGTGAATTATGTTGGACTTAATTTTTCATTTTGGTGGTTACCATCTATGCTTTTATTTAGATGGCTTCTTATCCAAACATTCCGAACCTCAAATTAATTTATTATTATATACAAGAAAGTTCTCTGGATAAGTAAAATAGAGTTAAAAAGATATATTTGTTTAGATGGATTAAAATAAAAGAGATAAAAATAAAAAAGATTAGAAATAAATAATTAACATGTATTAAAATTAATCATAAAATATCAAATATAAACAAAAAAAAAAAGTGTCTAGTACATTTCTCTAATCATTGGAGATGAAATACAAAATCATGGGTCTCACTGAAATTTTTAATTTCATCCCTCCATACCGTCCAATCAAATACATGAAATAATCCTATCCCTCAATTTTACTTCATCCCATTTTGGGTCCTCTCATTTTAGTACATAAAAATGCAACATAAGTTTTTTTCAGTGTAACTATAAATATTTTCAAAAACCTAAATGTGATTTGCAGTAAAATATGTATAAATAAACTAATCTTTTTTTTTCTTTGACACTTCAACAATTCTATTATATTTATTTTTATTGTCATTGTATAAAATTAATGAATAATTAATTTTTTTAATATTTATCCTTGTTAATTAATAAACTCTATCTATGGCCCCATAGCCAATCTCAAGCTCAAGTAAAGGAGAGTTACATTAAGGCTTCAACAATCTATGTAAAACTTGTAGAAATTTTTTATATGACTTGAGTACAATGCCAAATGAGCTAGAGTCATTGCATTGGTGCTCAAATGTGTATTAAATGAGTAAGGGTCCACAAATTTGACTAGATAAATATTAGTAAAGAAGTTGGTACAAAATGTGTTTAGGTTTGATTTATAGAATATTAGTACTTTGATAGGAAATTCATTGTAAGTTGTGGACACTATGATTCGTAAAAAGTTTAACATCAACCCTTCAAGAAACAAAATGGACTAAAAATAAGGTTAAAGAATTTGATATTTCAGCTTGCATACTTTGATATACAAGACTAGTAAACAGATAATTTGACAAGTTAATATTTCAAGTGTAACGGCCCAAATTTTGTAATATTAATTATTGATAATTATATAAATATGAATGTATATTCATGTGTGTATTTTTTTAGATATATGTTGTAAATATGTGTATATATATGTGCATGCATGACTAGTTGGGCTGAAAATGGGCTAAGTACCTAAAAGCAAGGGGTAATATTGGGCTGTTCTCGCTGTAGCGAGAGAACCCTAGGAGGAAGGACTAAAACTGTCACCTTCTCGCTGTAGCAAGAGAGCGACAGTTTGGGGTGCATTTCTGGGTACATTTTCGCTGTAGCGAGAGGGTCTCGTTGTAGCGAGATTCTGCAGAAACCAGAGTGCAGTTTTGTCTGATATTTTCGCTGCAGCGTGAGGGCATGTCGCTGCAGCGAGAAAATCTCGTTGTAGCGAGAGTGTCGCGACCAGAAAAGGATTTAAAAGGTGTTAGGGTTCGGGGAGAGTTATTTCTCCCTCTCCCTTTGATCCTCTTATACCCAAAGCCTTTTTTCACTGATTAATTGTCTCTAAAGTCGTTCGGGTGCTTGATTGAAGGTTGGATTTAAGTGGGGAACGCTTGGAGGACGAAATCCATGAAAGGGGAGCATGTCTTGGTGGATTTAGCGTGTGAAACGTCAATCCAAGGTAAGGGAGGACTCTACCCTACTCTTTGTATGTGATTTATCGTTAATTAGTTGATTATTTTGATGTGGCTGACTAGAGGATAGGAAATTGCTGTGAATATTATGTGTGTGGATGAGAAAAATGTGGTTGATGGAATTTTACTATATATTGCGGTGTGTGAACAAATGTGGGCCAAGTGTCGTATGATATAGTCGAATGTAGGCCATGTACTGTGTAATATAGATGAATGTTGGCTATGTGCCGTGTAATGTGAAATGAATGTGGGCCTAGTGCCGTGTATTTGAATGCAATGTGGGCTGTGTGTTGTGTATAAGCATGATTATTGCATGCGTGAATGGAATATGTGTGAATGGGTGTGTTAGCGCCATTATAATGTGTTGTAGATAGTTCAGCGATACACTAGGAGTGTAGGAGATGAGGACGGTAGAAATACCTTGGGGAAGAAGGGGTGGTGGTGACACCGACTGTGGAACGGGTGCATCACGGGCCACACACTTTCTTTCTAACTAGACCTCTGACCATTACATTTGCTGAGCGACCCGTGACTGTCCACATGGTATCCATAAGACGGGGGTAACCAGCGACTATTCATGGTGTAAATCTGTGATCACAATGCTACAGTGAGTGTGGCTGGTGTGCGTATGCATGGATTTGTGTTTTGTATTTATGGATGTGAAATACTGCCTGTAATTGTGTTTGTTTAATGTATTGGAAATGTTCTGGAGGTGAGACTTTACGTTGATTGTATGTTTTTGGGTAGTGTAGAGTACTCACCCTTACATTCATTTTTCAGGTAATCAAGACAATCAGTACCAGACTCAGTGAAGGGGTGGATGAAATTGCTAGAGGACTTAGGATATCATTTTGAAAACTATTGTATTTGAATAAGTCCTGTAGCAACTGTTTGATATGATTTGTAATCTTTTTTTTTTTATTTGAATGTTTGAAGAACTCGGATTGAAAATGAAAATTTTATTGTTTTAAAAATTTGTGAAATTCTTTATTTATTAAAATTAAATTTAAGGCGTTACACCAAGAATTAAGTGGTGGCTATTTAAAGGTGAAAAATATATGGACTTTTAGAGACAATTAATATAAGAGGGTAGTTAGGCGACACAAGGTAGTGCTAACATTATTTGGGACAATATGACTATGAAGGTTAGAAAAGTTGTAAAAAAAGGTTAAGGTGAATATAGAGGTTTTGGACCAACAGACAAGGAATCATGGTGGTGGAATGAAAAGTATGTAAAATAAGATTAGAGAGAAGATGTCTTTTAAGACTTTATATATATGTAATAATGCTAAAAATTGGATAAGGTATTGGAATGCAAGAAACAAGACAAAAAAAATTAGTGAGTGAAAATGAAGGGTTTTATCAAGATCTTGGGATAAAGTATTAGAAAAAGGAGGATTTATAAAATTGCCAAAAGTAAAGGAAGAAAATCTAGAGATTTGAATCAAGTTAGATGTATTAAGGATGAAGAAAGAAAAATTTTGGTTTCCAACCAAGAGAAGTACTATAGAAGGCTTTAGAAAAGAAAATGGTTCATGTAACATATTTAGGCTATCTAAGAGATGTATGAGGAGTAACTAAATGTGTGAGAGCTTCTAAAAGAGTATTTAAGAACTTCTAGTATTAAATGTGTTTGCAAATGACATATAAAAAATTATCTCTCAATACATGCTCTTTGCAGATTATATAGTATTGGTTGAAAATTTAAAAGAATAAGTTAATGTTAAACGTGAGTTACGAAGAGAAATTTTAAAAAAATCTAAGAGATTTTACTTGAGTAAAAATAATTAGAGTATATGCATTAGAGATGGCAAAATGAGCCAGTCCGCCCCAACCCACCCCGACCTATTAAAAGCCTGTCAAAAAATAGGCTAGGTTTTTTAGCTCGACCATTTAAGAATGGGCTGGTAGGCTAACGAGGCAACTTGCCAAAAACCAAAAAATGAAAAAAAAATAAAAATAATTGGTGGGCCATTTAATTAATGGGTCAATCCATCAAAAAGTAACTAAAAAAAAATTATAATAAATAATAATAAAATATTTAAAAAATATTTTTATATTACTAAAATTTAATATTAAATTATAAAATAATTATTTTTAAAATTTTAAAAATAAAAAATAGGCCTTATGGGCTAGCCCATTTTAGCTTGCATTTTGGCAGGCTAAAACAGGGCGAGTTAAACGGACTATTGAATCCAAATCACTCAGCCTACTCACCAAATTTAGTAGATTAAATGGGTTATCCTGTCAGGTTAAGCCCATTTTGACAACTCTATATGTATTGTAGGTTTAACAAAAATTAGAGATTATTATATCACAAGTTTTTAATTATAAGAACTTGAGATCGATTATACAAAATGATGAAGAAATTAAAGAATATGTTACTCACACAATATAAGGTGAGTAGTTAAAATAGAAAAAGACATCATGGATTATATGTGACTGTAAAGTACCTATCAAGTTAAAAAGAAAATTTGATTGTATTACAATACAACCAGCAAGTAGTGAATGTTGGACTTCAAAGGAATAACATGAGATAAAAGTGGGAGTCGTAAAAATGAGAATGTTAAGATAGATAAGTGAGTATATGAGATAGGACATGATACAAAATAATAATATAGGAGAAATATTGGTCCTATAGTGAAGAAAATATAATTAAAAATTGTCTAAAGTGATTTGTTATATGCAAAGAAGACCACGTCAAGACTCAAAAAAATGTTAAACGAAGTTATTAGAAGATATCTTTTGATTAACTAGATTTCTAAAAATTTAATTTTTGACTGAGTTTAATGGTATTGTGTGTGATTCATATAAGCTTCTAGGATAAAACTTGGTTGTTGTTGTATCCTTATTAATCATGTATTTGGCTGAAAAATGTATTTTCTTTCAAAATAATATTGTAAACGTGGAATTTAACAAGGAATTAGATAATAATTTTTATGCAAATTAAATTTCTAATTATTTTCTTAATTCTTATGCAAAACTTTAAACATCCAAGGAAAATAAAAGGGAAGGAAGGAGTATAAAGTGCATTTTTCTTTACAAATTTATATGGTTTTACACATTTTATGATCATCCTCTCAAATATGCAGCACATTAATGTCATAATACTCGATGAATTATATGGGACTAAAAGAAAAACATTTTAGGACAACGGAAGTAATATGAACTGGCCTTTTTGCTTTATTTAGATGGAGAAATGGGTGAAATATATGTAGGAGTTAAAAAGCAAACTCGAGATGCGTCTGAACTTCTCCATTGTTGAAGAGAACTTGAAGCTCTTCTGGAGGATCCTGATGCTGATGACACTGTTCTTGGATGTTGCAGTTTGATTCTGATACTGAAACAAGATATTGAATCATTAAATAAGATATAAACTTTATTAGTATCCAATGTGTTTATGAATTATGTGCACTGAAACTGTACTTACTTTTGATGGACATCAACATATTTATCAGTTTCATCCAATATGTCTTCCTTGAGTAATGAAAACAAATAATATATTAGCAAATCTTACAATACAAGAAATTAGAAAAGCAATGGTTGTGTAAACACATGCTGCTTATATTTAACATTAATAGTGAATATTGAATAAGTAATTTTCTTTTTAATTAGGAGAGTGAGTGACTATGATCTGTGAAAATTACAACAAAATTATCTTGTATTTTAGTGGAGGATATTATTTGGTTTCCACCAAATATAGCAATGTAATTGCTTAGATATAATTGTTTCCATTGAATTGAAAACAAAATTTCTGTAGTATCATAGTAACATTAACCTGAAGTAGCTCTTCCATAACATCTTCCATTGTTATTATCCCAATCACTTCCTCATCTGTTAGAAAAGACTCCAAATTCTCAAATGATGAACTTGCATCAGGTTTTTCTGATCTTCTTTGTGGTGGATCTGAGTCAGCATCTCGACTCATGACATTCTTCAGTGTTGCACTATAATATTCTGTTTCTTGAGAATGCCAATTTGATGCATCAGTTGAGATGCTAGTATAATCTCCTAGTTCATACAATGAGCGAAGTCCTGCAAAATCCAGAGTTACACCCTTAGATGCTTGCAAGAAGCTACTATCCCAAAAGCTTAAACAAATTCTCTTTAGGCTTAAAGGGCACTACCTTATGCTAACTTCAACTTTTAGAGTGAAAAGGGCAGTAAGGATTGAAATCTTCCTGACTTAGCCATAAATGTTTTAGAGAAATGCTAGTAATATATTCTTTGACACCCTCTTTCAAACAATCTTTATTATTGGCTAAAATTTATTAGAAATCAAAAAAATCATGTCGGTTCCATTCCATACCTAATTTAATATTCTCACCCATGCTTTTGTACTTTCTAATAAATTTTAGCCAATAATAAAGTGTGATAGAGAGTGTTTTCCTAGAACTCCTCAATGTTCTAATACTGTGCCATCCAAAAGCTAAAGCTATTAAGTAATGGCTCAAAAATGGTTTTTTATCTAACAAATTCTACACAACTATTGAACTCCTAAAGATTTTTTTTTTTGTGAAAAATGAAAAATGATGTGTGATATGCTCAAATCTAGCTTGGCTACTAACTTGATGGTATTGATTCTGAATGTGAACAATTTGTATAGGAACAAATCACCTGGCGTTTTGCCTTCTGTATCAGTTGCAGCAGTTTTGATGTTCTCTTCACACTTGAGGACAACAGCCATGTGGCTTTGACCCTTCTTGAATTGATTCAGTATATCATATAGTGGCCAATCTTCACCAACTCTAATAGCCAAAGAGGAACATCATAAGCTAAATACAGAATTACAGATTACTAATAAGATTAATCAATTAGTAGAACATATGATATGAGCAATGTGGTTGCTAAATAATTCTGTTGTTTCATTTTTTTGCCATCTTCACCTAACGATTGTCACCTAACGATTTTTGTTCCACTCAAAGCTACTCTATCAACAGGAAAAATAAGGGAAAAGATTCCATACCTAGGAACTCTCCTGATAGTCATATACTTAATTGGCATTTCATCTTCAGGACGACAGAAGATTAAATTCTTGACCTAAATCAAGGTCAAAACTGGCAGTTCTGTTATATATACCAAGAAGTAAGGTCTAATTATATAGTTCAGAAATTTTGAGCAAAGCCATCCTGTTTGGTCACTTGAGTACTTGACAAAAGTGAGTACTAAAATGGCTTCTCTAGTGGCATGTAAAAAACCATACATTATACACTGTTTTTTTATCATTAAATGACTGTTTATGTTGGATAATCCTTTTGTAGATCAGAAAAATTTGTTCAGATGTTTTAATAATAGAAGTTCCTCAGAGAAAGTGGTCCAAACAGAAGTACACACGGGTATATCAAACTGATTGATTACCAAGATAACACCAACAATCTTTGTTTGTTTTCCAGAGTAGATTGGTATACGGCTGTGACCTTTACTCATTATCAAGCCCATTGTTTGCCTATAAATAAGCAAATGAAGTTTAGAAAAGGTAACACTTAAAAACATGAGTGGTAGACATGCAGGACATACATATCAAGTTTGGAGTTTATGTCAAGAGAAAATGTTTCACTTATAGGTGTCATAGCATCTTTAGCAGTCTTCTGTGTTAAGTCCAAAGCTCCAGCAATTATTGTAGTTTCATGAAGTGACAACTCTCCACCTTTCCCTGCCTGACAATAGATTTGAGGATATCACAATATGTTAATAAAATTCCTAACCAGTAAAACAAGCTAACCTCATTGGCATGTAAATGGACCAAAGTCTTTAGTTCCGCTCGTCCTAAAAGCGCAGTATGCCCTTTGCCAAGCAGCCAATCCAACAGCTACCATAGCAGGATTTGCAACATATAAATCAAGAAAACAAAAAATTTTAAAAGCTAACATTTAGGCTAGGTGTCTATGGTTCATCCTGTTTATGTGCCATATTGTCTAACTACGCAATGGTCCTAATAATATAGATTACAAATTAAAAATCCTCATTTAGTCACATCCGAATTTTGATGCTCTGTAGCATGATATAGTAGCATTAATTTATGGCAATAGGTATGAGTGTAGTGATACAATATGGTTTCCTTAGCTAAGTTCATTGAAGATTCTAATTTTGTGCCTCTCATTCTATGATGTTCAGAAGTTTGGCCAGCCAAGGAACCTTTTAGAATGGGCATCATATTAGGGGTTGTTTAGAAGATCTTATGAAAATAACTTATAACTCCCATAAGCTTTTTTCACCTTATTTCAATAAGTTTCTCAATATAACTTATCAAATAAGCATTCTTAAATCCTAGGAAGTTTTATGGTCAAATTTATAGGATAAGTCCCCATATAAAAAGAGCTTATTGAATAAGAACTAAATTAAGCTATGTTCCCAAGCGCATCCTTAGTCAATAAGATATTGTCAAGTGAGTAATGCAACTTGAGTAACTTCTTATTTCAATAAAGATAGGATTACCTTACTAAGTGGATATGCAATTGGGAAGAAAATCAGCATGAGAACTCGAACAAAAGGGGACATTTTTGCTCCAACACTTAAACCATATTGAGAACACAAGGCTTGAGGGATAATCTGAGATCAAAGTCTTAGATGGGAAATTAAATAAAGGACACAAATATATGTATGATGTACTTAAATATTATATATGTATGATTTACTTAAATATATACACGAATGCATACAAATAAATATGGTAAAATTCATTTTGCTACAGAAATTTCACCTCTGCAATGATACCCAAAAGTGTGGCTGATATTAAGACAGAAAGCCACTGTGGGAACATTTTCTCCATAAAAACAGAAACCCCCTTGAATAACACAAATTTTATAATCAGCACTGTTCAACATGAGCATGAAAAAAATGTATGTATACAGGCTATGGGAACTTAAAAGGGCATATCCTTTTACTCAGTATGTGATTAAATGAATAAAGTAACATACCCTTAAGCATTTTAGATCAATCATACCAAAGGTATACTTGGATTTGGGGTAATATATGGTAATGCAAATAAAATTCAAGTCTTCATTTAGTATATAGAAATTTACTTTGAATCAGATGAAAGGCCTTGAAATGATCTGGGTAACTTACCTCCAATGCAATTGATTTAGCTATGAGGAGGGTGCATAAAAGAAAATGCTCATGCTTAACAATGGACATAATCTTCGCTGCAGATAAAAAAAATGTTTTCACTACTTGATAAGATGGAGGAGTAAAGAGTTTAGAGTTTCATCCCCCAAATTTCATCTTCTATAATAGTCTCTAGCTAAGTGTAACTTTTGTGTTTTTGGTTAGTTATTTGCCCAATTTGAAGGTTATTAGACACCATGAAATTTGATTGTACTAGTCAATGTTAGTTTGTATTGTACTTGCAATGTCTAAGCTGAAAATAAGAACCAACTCAACTTTTTCCTCAAATACTGAGTGATCCATTTGTATTATTTATGAGGTTTCACATTTTCATAATTTTTTTTTCATGTTTATGAGGTTATATATATTATTTGGGATTTAACTCCCTTAAAATAAGTGGATGTGTAAATTAATATCCACTGTTGATTCAAATTAAACTATCTTATATACTTAATAATTTTTTGGCAACAACTTCCAAAAAAGTTCAAAAATAGAAGCTCTTGAAATTAGCTCCCTAATAGCTCTTTCAATAACTTCTGCAAAAGTTCCAAACATCACTTTTGAATTATAAAAGTACTCATTCAAGTAGAGAAGTTCTTATAAGCACACCTTACTTTTCACTTTACAAATTTCTCTGAACATATCATCTTATAATAGACTTCTAATTTTTAACTAAAATTGTATGCCCTACCTATACTGTACATCATAGCTAATTCACTCCTCTTTTTTTTTTTTTTTTTCTTGGGACTCAAGGTACTCTTAAATGAAGAAAATTACACTAAACAAAAAGCAATCACCTACCTGCATTTTTCTGGGTTTGAGGTTGTCCAGCTTTAACAAGAACCTCAAGATCAACTTGGCTAAAGGACAAGAGTCCTAGAGCAAGACCTGATGTGATAGCAGCAAATAACAGAGAAGCCCAACAAATGATTAGTGAAATCCAAAAGTGAGTTCCACAACAAGGTGCCTTTTCCTCAAGGTATAGATTCATCTTTTCTTTGAATGGGGGGCAGTAGGAGAAGCATAAGAAAATATCAATGACAAGAATTGCAACATGGCATGTAACAAAGCAAATCCCAAGTGTATAACTCTCAGCAAGATGCCTGCATACTTAAATATACAAATGGGGGTACCCCAGCATTAGGATCAAAGGTCCCAAATCATAAATTCCTGACTCTTGGGAGATTTCTAAGAGGCAGAGTTAAGCAATTGACAGAACAGAATTAATTTGAAAGGTGTACATAATTTTAAAAATAAACTGACAAAGATTTCTAAAGGATATTCAATTTTTTAAATAAATTTGACACTTAAATGTGCTGTCCAAATATAATTGAGAAAAGTGATGTTTATATAGCCTTCAATTTGCGTTACATGGTCTAATAATTAAATTTCAAAAATTACAATATTTTTAAAAAAAATTTAAAGTGTCTATTTTAATTATTTTATTTAATTTTTCATTACTTGTTAACCACTATTGTCTTTTTTTTAAGGTTTCAGAAAATAAAAAGAAAAATGTGATAGAGAAAACGAATTGAATATTTTTTATATATGATTTGTTGGTCGGCTTGAAGAAAACCCAACAAAATTTATTTTAAAAATAAATTAACGAGTCAAATTACCTTTTGACAAAAAAATTTATTTTAAATTAAAAAAAATTTAAATTTTTTTAAAAAATTAACAAAAATGAACAAGTGATTTTCTTATAATAAGCTGAATCCGGCACTCAAAAAATTAGTGATGTGAGAACTCTTGATTCTTTTGTACGAGTATTTGTGAAGGAACACACCAAATATGTTAGAAAAGGAATATTGTTCAATGCTTCTGCTTGGGCTGTGAGATTGTCATTACATTCAAACTGTTTGTTTGATTTAAAAAATATTGTTAGGACATAGTCCTTTGTGATCTAAGGATCAAATAAATAAATATTATGTATGTTATTTAACCATCTTTTCTTAGTTTCTAATATTTTGTTTCCATTTTTTTCCCCTTTAAATAGTTTTTATTTTGAGTTTAATTTTAATGAGCTGTTAGTATAAAGATTTTTACCCAGTTAATTAATTAAAATAAATTTTAGATGTATTTTTTTATATTAATTATTATAAAAATTAATGATTCCTGTTATCATAGTAATTCATAAATAGATAACAATGTCAAAAGTTTTTGCAGTATATTTAATTTTTTTTAATATATTTTTAGTTTGTGTCTCTTGAACTAGGCAGTTATACTTAAATTAAGTAAAACTCTTTGTTTAAAGAAAGAAAGTTTTTTCCTTTAAAATAACATTTTTATTAAATCAGTGCTTAAGACAATTTTTGAAAACTTCACTCTTATGAAATACGATTGGATTCTATTTTTATATTTTCTTGTGTACTTTTTATGGTCCATATAACTACTTAATTGTAATATATTATGTATTTAATTATGTCATGTTAGTAATATTTTAATATAATATAATTAAATATATATTATGTCATCGAAAGACCGTTTTGTTATGTCAAGGAGAAAACTATTTTAACATGAGTCAGTGAAATAAAAATGCACGAAAGAGGAGAGAAAAAAAAGAAGATAATCAATAAAGTAAAAATATTTAATATTTAAATAAGTTGAAATAAGTGATAGTTTTTTTTAGATCAAATAAAAAATAAAAAAAATAATTGAGTTATACTAAAAATATTTATAAAGATTAAAATTAACCTAAAATTTTATTGTGACGCTTTTAATAAAAAATTATTTTTTACAATTTTTATATTATTTTAACATTAAAAAATATATATATGCACATACATTCCTTCATCTCATATTTTTTGGCCCTAAGTTCAGAGTAGAAAAAAAAAATGGTCCTGACCAATAAACAAGCAACACGTATCTATTTTAAGACGTGTTCAAATTTGAGTGGCTGAAACCACGTAGTCTCGGATCACACGATAATTTCTCGAGAGCAGAGGCTTCGCTTCTCCCCTGTTATTTAAATTTAAGAAAATGCTATGTTTTTTTTTCTCCTCTCAAATTTCACAGCATCGAAATAGAGCATAAGGATGATAAAGATTATTTTAAAAAATTAAAAGACTAAAATAAAATAAAGTTACATTTATAAAAATTACATATATATTTTATCCAATTGAAAATAACTAAACAAAATAATGTGAAATTACGTTCAATTTCATTAATTCATTTTTCATTATAATTAACTATAACACTGTCGACGGCTTGAATGGTTGACTGAGTTTTTACCTGGACTTGATCGATTCCAATAAAATGGAAATTAAAGTATATGTAATGAATATGTTGCAAATATTTCTCACAGAAAGTATCAAATATTTCAATCCAACTTGAGTCATATTTATCGAATATTACTCCCTCTAATTGAAAAGTTTCGATACCCTCTCTTACACATAGAACAATTATAACTATTAAATAGGCAGTGAGATTAACAATTTAATTAAAAAATATTAATATTATTTATATTTTAAAATAATGAAAAAATTATAACTGTTAATCTAAAAATAATATAGAATATCCTCTTAAATTTATGTACCATAGCAAGCACTAAATAAAAATTAGGTCCTCTGTTAAACTCTATTTTTCATTTAAATCTTATATAAAATTTTTTGATATCTATACAAAAAAATATAAAATAAATTAATGATTCAGTCTTTATTTTTTGCATGAGTCATATAATTAGTTGATTTTTTTAGCTGAATAAATTATTTTTAAAATTCAGTTCATATTTGACATATGTTTGTTTAATTTTACGTGAATCTGTTTGGGTCTTTACATGAAAATAAAAATAAAAATTTGGCATTTTATTTTGAATTATCACAATAAATGAACATGAGCCACACAGTAAAATCAAGATAACTATGCCATAATAACTTTGATCTTGATTGCGATGTGAGTAAAGTTATGATCGAACACCTATGTATTAAAATGATGCTAACAATAATACTAGCTGTGTGTTGGTTCCTCCCTGTAACTTTTGTGAGAACCGAGAGGTCTCATAGAAATAAATTAACAAAGTGACAAATGTAATCAAAGTACTATAATTACAATTTTTCCAAATCTAATTTGCTTTTCCACCTTATTCGTTCATTGGCCATAATATTATGATTACGCTCATTCATCTTTCAGTTGGCTTATGAAGCCTTCGAAGTTCTCAATTAGTGAATCTTTTAATGCTGTGTGATATTGCAGTTTATTACACAAGAATTGCATTTTAGTTAGACTAATAATGGTTGGTTAAAAGAATGAGGAATACTATAACATTCTTTACACATTTTTTTAATAGAATTACGTCTTTTTCTTTACAACACATTCCTTGTGAAATAAGTGTTTGATGTGATCCAATAATAATGTGTGCTAACATATTTTATTATTTAAAAAAGTGTGTTTCTAATATCTTGTTGAAATAATCATAATATCAATATCAATATACTGTGTTAGAAAAAAATTGTTGAAAATTATGCAACATGACTCAATATAAGAGGGTGTTAAAAAAATCAAATCAAATATGTTTATAACATTCCTGTCAAAGTAATCATTTTATCATTCACAAAGATAATAAATAGTGTTACATCATTTAATCATTTTAGGTGCAACTATAAGCAGCATTATTCTGCAAAGTTTGCAGAAACTACCTTTGCAGAAGTATATAGTTCACACGTAATCTCAATTTCTGTAGCAAAATCCTGCTTGATTTGGCACACTTAAAATCCAAACACAGTACAAAAAATTAAGCAAACATACATATTCATTTTGTGCCTTGGACATGCCACCACCACTAGTATACAACAAATGCACAGAGATTATACAGGATATGACAGTGAGATTCTAAACTGAACTCTTACAAAATAAGCAGAGAAGCATATATGACAATTATAAAATAGTTAAGTAACCAAAGCGGAAGAGAGTAGAGACAGAAAAAAGTGTCAATTACAAATCATTTTCATACTTTGTACTAAATGTCTACCACTAAAGCATCAATCTTAGAGGAATCACAAGCACTCCTACCACTGCTGGAAAGGCTCCATTGATCAGACAGTATGCTTACTGCAGCAGATGAAGGTGAAATGCCACCTTTAGCAACCCCACATTTGGCTACAATTCTAACACTCTCTACCAACTCCTTAGTGAGAGCCTCTTGTGACAAAATATCCATCAAATGTTTAGGAGTTATCACCAATTTGACTTTCCAGAACCTGCTACTAGTACTAGTAATAGCTTTGCTATTACTAATACTAGTCCTACAAGAGAAAGGTTCTGTTGATGTTTTCTTCAGCAATCCCACTCCTTGGTGGTGTTGGTAGTCCAAGGACATTCTATATGGTGCAGGATGAGGGGTTGTAGGAACACTATGAGAACGAATATGGCCTTGCCGGGCGGCAACCACAGCGTGGTTGCTGCCGCTGCCACCGGAGGCAAAAGGGTGTTCACCTTGGTTGTTTAGTGGCAGTAAATAGTATGATTGCCCTGCCACCAACTCATCAAATTGGCTTAGTGGTTTCCAAAATAGGTCATGGCTTGGGAATATGCCATGCCCAGGGAATTCACTAGTGATGCAATTCACAGTAATTGGAGCATAGAATTCCATGATGCCACCATTTGATGTTATCACTTTGATCACTGTTTCAGGATCTGACATGCCCCCCAACAAGCAGTTTCCCATGTTGGACTAGGAATCTGTATGAACTATGATGGAACAGTTATGGTATTTTTCTTAGTAAAGTGATATATAAGGTAACTAGTTTGCTTGGAGGCTATTATTCTAGAGCGGGAAACTTGGGGGGATGAAAAGAAAAAGATGTTCTATGGTGGATTTTTCTAATTGAGGAGAAATTCTTATGAAGAATATTAGAGTAATACAAGTTTCAACATTCTAAGGCTATTCAATTTTCGTGTCACATGTTATGTTTGAAAAGTAGATAAAAGTTCTTCTTTCTCTAGAGTTTAGGTGAATTTGATTTGGTTAAAGCAAGATTGGAAGGAAAAAGAATGTACTTTAATAAGTTGCGCACGGTTTATTCTGCTTGGTTTCATCATTAGTTACATTATATTCTCACCAGTCAAAAGTTGATATGAATAAATGATGCATATATGTATTTTCACCAAATCTTTTCGTAAACACAAGAGGAAAAATGTTGTTCAATAATAATATTCATTTTGGTCCCACTATGCTGGACCGAACAGAAGGGAAGAAAGCAAAAGGACTTGAAGATATATCTGCCACTTCTTCACCCTTTTTCTTTTTCTTTTGACCCTTTATCTTTATCCTTTGATAAAGGCACCAAGGTGTCAAGAAACTATAAATTCATTCAGTTATCTTGGATATGCAAAATAAAATTACAATCCAATAAATGTGAGTAAGAATAGTTTGCTTTGCTAGCTTGGGATTTTTGTTTCAATAATGTTGATCAATTATTGTTGGATTTCAAGCTCATGTCACATCCTTTATACTTTAACTGTTGTATTGGAGGCCTTAGAGAAATTTTGTTGCTTTGCATGCCAAATCATTTAAGAGGTTGGGCTGAATTTACTCAAATGTGAAAAATCATAATCATACCATACGGAAAATTTAACTGTGATCGAATAATATATAAATGGGAATTTCCATTATCTATCCTCCAATCCAAGGATTCAAACAAGTTGTTGACTTACAATCATTAGCTCATTAAGAATCATAATTCTTGAGGTAATAATCTGGACAAGACTCAGATAATCACAGCTGAACTGTAGCTAGCTGAGACAGAAACGCACACAAACCTTTATGGAAAGTTGAAAGTAATATTACAAAAATACTGCCCAGCTGTACTTTATTATAAGACATCTTTAACTCAATTATATGTATCAAAAGAAGTAGTTATTAATATTATTGATTTAATTTAAAATACCTAACGACATTAATTTATAACAACTAAAGGTAAATAACTTATTAAATTTTCACTTTACAAATAAACTGAGTTTAGAATTTTATTTTTGATAAATATTGGTTGGGCAGGCGGCAAGCATGTCGCATTCTGAAGAAAAGAACCAAAAACTTGAAATACTGGAGAATGCAAATTATGCAATCTTTGATAATGATTCTCTGCTTCCATTTATTAATAATGATCTGCATTCTCCATTTATAATGAGCTTCTATCTATTATGCCAGTGTTTTTATTAATCAAAATCAAATTTCATGTATGCAACATTAGATTGGTTTTCAGCAAATATGATTTGAACTTTTTATTTTTCTGGTTAATTAGTACAAGGGAACTTAAACTTCCAACACGACAATTTTGTACTCAGGAGACGTTTTTACTAATTGAAGTGGCTACAATGTTGAGTCAAATTAAAAGGCTTTGTAGTTTTGGCCAACAAAAAAATGGGGAATTTTGTTCATGTTTAATCATTCAAGATTGATATGATATCATTATTAAAGTATTTTTCAACCCCTTAAATTCTTGTCTTATTTTCATTTCTCATTCAAGTCTTTTACTATGATATCTCCACCATGAACCAGCTTATAGCACCATAACTATTTTTCTTTCTGTCTTTTTAAATGGGTCATTTATGAAAAAAATAAATAAATTACCAAATAATCCTTTTATGGCTTAATAGTTTTTCATTTAATTTTTGAAAACATAATGAATTTTTCATTTGGTTTTCCGAAAATGAAGGGCTAAATGAAAATTTTAAAATATTTTGAGGTTCAAATAGAAAAATAAATAAATAAAAGGGACCATTTTATAATAAAAAATATTTTATGGAGAACTCATTTAAAAAAATTAAAATGAGGGACTCAGTAGAAAAATTGCAAACTTTTGAGAAATCAAAAACTTAATTAAACCAAAATCATTTTTTTAATATATAGTTTTGTATTTCAACGTTACATTATTGTACTTCATTCCATTGGAAATGCTATTCCTTACTCAAAAACCAACATATTCAGCATATTTAAGCTTTTGGTTACTAGCCACTTGTGCCGAATGCTTATTTGTATCTATATTCTATCCTCTTCCTCATTGTCACGATGTCTCCAAACAAAAGAATTAGTCATAACCAGTTGTCTTGAAGAGCCAAGTCTATGAATGAACCATTCAATAAATATGATCACTTTTGTACCACACTTCCCAACATTAGTACACTTCATCCAATCACACAATGAGAGAATATGAATTCCCATGTTGTGAGCTAAACTTTTGGGTGTTTTTTATTATATGTTTGGTGCTTGTGGCACTTGCAGGTATTGCATCTGGCCTAGCTTTAGGACTATTGTCATTCAGCCATGTTGATCTTGAGGTTCTTATTAAGGCAGGTCGTCCAAAAGACAGAAAGAATGCAGGTTTATCTTCTAAAAGTCACTACATTCTTGAGTCTTTATAAGATCTAAGCCTAATTGGCATTACTATTTTACTTAATTTGCAGAAAGGATTCAACCTTTGGTAAAGAATGGACATTTTGTCCTGTGTACCCTTCTTCTAGGAAAATCACTGGCTATGGAGGTATGTTGTTTATTTTAGCACATATATTAGTTAATATGGTTAAATAATCACATAAACTAGTTGCTAAAGATATACAAGGGCAACAAATGATTTCCTTTTCATCTCTAATATGTTCCCTCCGCGAGTTATCCTTGCATCACATAAACTAGCACTTATTACAAATTGCATGATGCATGTTAAAAAAGTGTCTAAGAGGTATCAATATTGTATTGAATATGTATATGATACTGCAACATTTCAGAAAAGAGAATTTTCGACACTGCAGTACTTCAAATAAGAGTTATATTTGCATAATAGCTTATCCAAGGAGGCTCTAATATTATGTAAAACAATGTTTTTTAGCAATTAAAGGAAGGGTTATGAATGGTTTTTATGTAAATGAATGTCACTAGAATGACTCTAGTTGTTTTTGTTCAAGGCCCTGCCAATTTTTATGGACTCAATCATCCCAACTTGGTTTACTATTCTCATGTCGGCACCCTTGGTGACTGTGTTTGCAGAGGTAATGTTTGTTTTGACAAAATGCAGCTACAATGTTTATATAAGATACGTTTTAAAATTAACTCACATCATGTTTATCATCTTAGATTTTACCTCAAGCCATATGCTCTAGATATGGATTAACTTTAGGAGCAATAATGGCTCCCTTTGTTCAACTGCTTCTGCTGATCTTCTTCCCTGTAACCTATCCAGCTAGTAAGGTAAATTATTTGATATGTATGTTTGTGTGTCTATTATTGTTTAGATTTGTTCAATGTATGTTGCTGTCTCTTATTGCATTTGAAATTGAAGATTCATTGCACCAATATAAAAAATAACAGAACTATTTCATTCAGCAACTCATAACTATATTACCTATAATGAACATCATAAAAGGATTGGATCCGAGATTGAACTCGTTCATTCAGTTTCTCAAGGAAAAATTCGTGATTATATCAATATAAGGTGATTTGCCTATAAAGGCATCTTTTGAGAAGATTTAATCAACATGCTTGAGTATATTTCTTTATCATTGTATTTTCATGTACTTTGATTTTAGTAATTTTACCTATTTAGAGTTAATTTAAAAATAAATTACTAAAATTGGGTCTTTGTAAAACATATTTCTCGTCTAAGTTAATTTTTGACACATGACATACAAGACTTAATTTTTGATAAAATGAATATCCTCCTAATCAATACTAACACTTGCTAGGACCGACACATGTCAAATAAATGGCTAAATAAATTTAAAATTCAAAAGAATAAATCAATACTAAAGGGTAGAAGATATCACGTAGTATAATAGATTCATGTTGGGGTTTCTTTCTTTCCTTTCCCTTCTCTTTGCCTTCATTCTTCTCCTTCATTTTTTCATGGTTGTCATAAAGAACAAAGGGGAAGGAGAAGGAAAAAAAAAAGAAGAAGTCAATTTAACCGTTTAAAACCTGTTACATGGTGTAATCATGGCTAGTATCGTCCTTGACTTACTAGTGTCATTATTGACAAATTTGATACTATTTAAGGGAAAAAGATTTTCTCATGTCTGTGACATGAGGGAGCTGTCGCAATCGGAAGGTTGCAACGGTACGGTAAAAAAACATTTTCAAAATATCAGAGGAGTCGCCACTAAAATTTTTTTAAGAAAATCTTGAATTTTTTTTTTAAATAATATGATCTTTGAAACAAAAAATGAGTTTGGGAGTCATTTACGAGTGAGAAAGGTATTAGCACTCTACAACGTCCATTTAAAAATGGTCCTTAAATTAATTATGCAAATTCATCTTAATTTTAAAAAATATTTATTTAATCCCTAAACAACAATTTTTTTTTTTATTTTCACTTTAGAAGAAGAAAAATCATTTATTGAGATATTATTTGGGTATCTTAATAAAGAGAAAATTTATTTTAAAAATTATTTTGAATTAACAGGTCCGGTTCTCGCTCCTATATATCTTTAGGTGCAATGGAAAACTCAAAGTCACGTAATTCTATCTAAAAAATTATGAAGTTGGTTAATTAAAGTAAAATTTAGTAAAGAAAATTTGTTTTGAGATTAAAATTATTTTCATAAAATTATAATGTTTAGGATACAAGATAACACAATTATACATATACCCTACGAGAAACAATACAATAAGTGAAAGAAGATCACACAACTATATTGCAAATTGTTAAAAAAAATATTTTATTCGTAAATAAAGTATTTGAATTTTAATTTTGATTATGATTAATGTTGAAATAAATTTAAGATAGAGTAAGCTATACATAAACCTCTTTTAATTTTGGACAATCGATGACAATGTAAATCGCACATCGATGTTGCGAAAATTTGTATAATAAAATGAAAAAGAGATTGGTTATTTAATTTATTAAATTAGAAGTATGATTTAAGAAAATTAAAAATATGAAATTAATTCTATTTAATGAAATGAATAAAAAAAATTAAAACTTTGTTTAATAAATTTATGTTGTATAAAACCTAAGGTAAGGTTGGTACGGATAGGTTCTAATAATTTATAACTCGTAAAGGTATAATTGCTACACATTAACATTATAAATTATTGTGTTAATAAAATAATTTTTATTGATTGATTAGTAAAATAGTGATTATAGGGAATATATTTTGATTGATTATTAGATAATCTTTTTAATTAATTAAAGATAACATATGATAAATTAATATTATCTAAAGCCTCGGTAACGTAGGTACACGTAGACTTTATCAATTTATAACACATAACAATAGAGAAACTACACGTTAATGTTATAAATTAATACACTTATATATTATGCATTTATTTAATAAATTAAAAATATAATTTGTAAGCCATAAAATAAGAGAATATAGAACATTAAATTAAATTACATCAACATCTAAAACTTATCCAATACAATAAAGATGATCATATTAAAGAACAATATAAATAAATAATTAAAATAAATAAATAAATAACATGCAAGATGTAGTGAGAATGTAATATGATTGTATAAATCAAGACTTGAATAGTGTCTAAATCTAATTTAACTATTCTGTTACCATTATTATTTTTTAAATTAATTAATAAATGAAATTAAAATAACCAAGATTATGACTCACTGAACCACAAAACATGCGATTTCAGATTCAAGTAAAAAAAGGAGTAAAAAAGTTGATTTGTAATTAAGGCTATTAGCTTTTAACTTTTAGCTTTAGGCCCAGGGACTTGTCCAATCCATTCATATCACACGGTCAATAAAAATATTAATATTTAAATAACATAAAAAATAATAATAATTTTTTTTTAAAACAAAGTAATAAGAGCCAGGACATTTTCGTTTCTCATCATTTGTAACTTTGTTGCCTTTGTCCATGTAACATTTTCTTTTATCATTCAAGAAACGTTCAACAGTGAGAATGAGAGCAAAGGAATACCTGAAATGAGAATAAACTGACGAAATATTGCTGAGGAGTGACCATAATGATTCTTTTGGTGGCCAAACAGCGCTGATTTTTTGTTTCTTCTCTATATTCTCTTTTTATAAGATCTTTCAAAGGAATTTGTACCTTCTCTACAAATTTTGTCGCTCTCTTTTTTCTAAAAAATTTTTTTTTCTAAAGATTTGAGTTGTTCCTTCTAAAAATTTCTACTTCCTTCTCCAAACACTAGTTGCTTTTCTTAGATATCTCAATTTTCTTAAAAATTTTGCTATTTCCCAATCTCCTTCTACTCTAGAAAAAAATGGTTCTTTCCTTCAAAACCTTTACTTGTCTTTTATATTGGTTCGTTTAGGGTTTATTATGAGGATCTCTGAATTTATCGTTTTTCTTTCTTTAACTTTAAAGTTCATTGTGGGTGCTGGGCTTTAATCTGCACACTGCAAAATTTTTATTTTTGGAGACAAATCTTTTTTTTTCAAAATTTTCTATTTTTTATGTAAAATAATTTTATTTTTATATATATCTATTTTCAAAAATTTTGGAGGCAATCCCTAGAAGAAAAAAAAATTAGTATTCACATAAGAAAATATTAAAATATACTAACATGACCTTCATGTTTGGGCTGAAATATGAGGAGATTTAGATCCCTATTTAAAAGTGTCATGTAAAGTCCTCTACCTTAACTGGACTTAATTTTTCAATTTTAAATTTATTTAATCCTTTTTTACATTTGACACGTGTCAGTCCAAGCAAGTGTTGACATTAATTGGGACAGTACACATTTAAAAAATTAAAAAATAATTAAGTGCAATAAAGACAATAATTGTATTATGTGTCAAAAAATGGACCTAAATTTTCTCTCTTTTTGGCACCAATTTCACCTTGCAGTTAAGCCATTTTTTACATTTTCGTTTAAACGAAAATTTCTCTCTTAAATTAAAATGTAAAAGACACTAACTGTGGGTTGCAGTTATTGTAGGGAAATCAGACTCGTCAAAAATTACTCTGAAAAGAGAATATGTTTTACGAAGACTCTATTTTGATAATTTGATTTTAAGTTTATCCTAAATAGGCAAAAAGAAAACCTTAATTTTGTTTCTAAAACAAATTCTTTTGATTTTAGTATCTAATTATTTAAAAATAAACTCTTTTAGTCTCTAGTAATAATGTGATTAACTAAAAACATTATGACTTGCATCAATTTTTATTTTGTGATCTGATCAGTAGGAACCGAAAGCAGCAAATTAAAAAAAAAAATGAGAGACTGAAACCAATATTTTCTTTTTAGGAGCTAAAATCAGAGTCGCACAAAAATATAAGGATAAAAAAAAATATTTAAATCTGATTAATATATCTAAGTATCTTTCTATTTTTGCAGTTGTTGGATTGTGTTCTAGGGAAAGAGCATTCAGTTCTTCTGAGAAGATCAGAGTTGAAGACATTTGTGGATTTGCATGCAAATGAGGTTTTCCTCATAATATATTTGACTTGGACTAAATTGGTCATATGTGTACAACTAATAGCTAAAATATTCATATGCAGGCAGGGAAAGGTGGAGAGTTGTCCCATCATGAAACTTCTATAATCACAGGTGCTATGGATTTGACTCAAAAGACAGCTAAAGATGCAATGACCCCCATTTCTGAAACTTTTTCTCTTGATATAAATTCCAAACTTGACATGTAATGTGTCACACATAACTCTTAATTTGAAATCAAACAGATATGTATAATTTATTTTTTATCCCAGCCACCCATCTATAAATGCAGTTCACCTTTGTCATCAGGCATACAATGACACAAATAATGAGCAAAGGTCACAGTCGCATACCTATACATTCTGGACATCCAACAAATATTATTGGCCTCATCTTGGTAAGAAATTGAGAAATTACACAGGGAAATATGATGAATTCAAGCAATTTCTTCAATAAATCTTGAATATATAAGTTGGGTAATACAGTTTTGTTCATTATATTAATACCAATTAATGAAGGCAAACAAGAGTCCTTCCATTTCACATTTGAGACAATGTTTTTACTTGCATATATCAGCTTGTGTTTCTCAACATTGCTCAATAATATTCTGTATTCATATAGTATTGCTATAAATTCATTTGCACAGGTTAAAAATTTAATATTCTGCCGCCCAGAAGATGAGACCCCAATCAAGAATTTGATTATCAGAAAAATTCCTAGGTAATAGAACTAATACCTAAGCTTTAACATCAGGATTGGCCATCAAATACAATATTGCTTGTGATTTTCATTAATGCAGTAGTCACTACTATACTAAACTACATGATATTGTGCATTTAATAACTCTGTAACAGGGTTTATGAAAGTTGGCCACTATATGAGATAATGAATCAATTCCAGAAAGGTCATAGCCATATGGCTATTGTATTGAAATCCAACAAGGACACAGTGAGCACTGCAGCTCAAGCTGGGGGTACACCTACCTTTTTGAATGTAATTACTCATCAAAACCCAGCTCAGATTGCTGAAGGTAACAACATCTTATGGAATTTAGACATGGAATCATATAAAATCAAACATTTTATTTAAGCTGAATTGGTAAACAAAAGTAGAAAATACAAGGCAATATGTGGGTTTTAGAAAATATTTTATGTTTTAACTTTTAATTACATAACTGCTACTTTATTTTCATTTTGTTTTTTGTTTCAAAGATATGAAGAAGAAACACGGAAAAAAACTTCTTTTTTTTTCATTGATACATATAAAAATCTTTGAAGACAGATAATAGAATAAAAACAAGGTGATAACTTTTTAATTAAAAGTGAAAATTTCTAAACCGAAAAGCCCCTACAGTTTCTTGGATGAGAAAAATCACTTATGTTTGTCAATCTGTGATCTGCAGAATCTAATTCTTCTTTTGTCCTGGAGAGTCAGAGAAGCTTTATTCATGAATCCACTGTATGCTCCAGTGACGCAGAATTTCATAGTCCAACATTAAAAAATGTCATGGAACTAGAGAATGAATTAAGTCAAGAATCCAGCCAGTGGGAGCAAGAAAATGAATATTTCTCACAAGAACAAATAGAGTCTCTTCCAGCTGTTCTGGATGAGGAGGTGATTGGCATCATCACAATGGAAGATGTTATGGAGGAACTGTTACAGGTTAGTATGCTATAGCTTTATATGTTTTTCTAATTTCATGTCAATAATGCAGAATACTTCATATTCCTATTTGTGGGATTAGATGCAGTTCTCTTCTTTAGTTTATGATATTGATAGCACAAACATGGTTCTGCTTAGGAGGTTAAAAGATTAAGAGAATCTGGGTTAAGATTGGACAAAACAAAGCTTAGGTGCAGTTTCATAAGTACTATTGGTACTGTTCTCCAATCTTGAATTTTACCTCAATCATATGTTTCGACTTTCATTGTGTTGATTGGGGAATAGCACCAAAAGGATTTTATTGTATTGCACCTAAGTTTTATCTGTTAAGGTAGATATAGTTGGTCAAATTTTTGGTTTGCACTTTAGTTTCTTAAATTTTTGAACTACCAACTATCAACTTGGCCCTTAGGAGTTTAATGAAATGTTTTATCATGTGTTGGAAGTGTGAAGCTTCTGATTATTTCCATTTTTGACACCACTGGTAGTGATCTTTTCTATTTCCATGCTGATTGTGATCCTCTTTTAGGGAGACATATTGGATGAAACTGATAAATATGTTCACGTTCAAAAGAAGTGAGTAAATTTACTTTGAATTTCAATAGTTACCCTGTTCATTTCAGTTTCCCCCCAAATAAATTGATAGCAATTAACAAATTTTATGCTTCAATTTTTCTTATTTTCAGCATTAGAATTAACCTGCTGCAATCAGTAAAGTCACAATCAAGATCATCAAGGAGAGCTTCTGGTTCTGGTCGTTGTTAAAGAACTTTGAAAAAATATTTATTTTGTTTAGTCTCAGCGACTCTAACATTTCAGAAACTCATATGTGGATACTTCAATTTTATTTCAACATCATCATTTGATTTTCTACATATCAATTAAAGCAAATAACATCATTTGTTATTCAATTAAAGCAAATAAAGTAGATATAAATGTGATTTATATGAGCTTCCTAATGCATGTCTTCTCTCTCCCCCTTCATATGTGTATCTTCACACGTGTGTGCATAAATGTAGATATTAGAATCCATTAATTAAGAGTTGCTGTTTCATACATTATGAGGTCACCATTTCCTGACCTCTTCACTCTTGACACATTCTCAGTACTTACATGCATGATAAAATATAAAGTTCGATGGTATAAGTTGGTAATATTATATCTTATTGATTAATATTTTGATACTATATAATATTTGATGTTAGACCATATATGATCTCCTACTGTGTAATATAACATTATCTTATGTTTGGTATGCATTGTATAACCTTGGTCATTAAATAGATAAAACTAATTTTTTTTTAAATACCTTCACTCATAAAAATATGTTTTATATTCATCTAAAATGTTATACTAATTTCTGGAAATTAAAAATCTCTAAGGCTTACAAAAATCCTCAAACCATATTTTAAATCAATTAGGTCCATACACAGATAATAATAAAAATTTCATAAAAATATATATTTAATAGATAATAATAAATAATACTTGAAAAGTAGTGGCCCTATTAGGAATAAAATTATAATAAAGAAGATCAGGATAAAAAACCAGAACAGATCAAAACAATGTGAAAAGGACAATTGCTACCTTTGGTATTGTGGAAAATAGAGAAGTGAAGAAAGTGGAACAGATTCCAATTAGTGGGACAGGAAGAGATATAAAGGGATATAAAATTTGGTATTTTGGATAAAATGACAACTTGAGCCCAATCTTGTAGGAAAAAACCTGCTTTACTCTCATTATTTAAGACATAAATAGGACCTGTTCAGACAGAACAAGGTAAAGAAAATGTTAGGAGGACTAATATAACAATGATTATGATTTATAGATATTTTAATAATATCACAATTCATTTAACATCTTTTATTTCTTCATACCACAATAATATTACTATTCATTTGACATTTTTCATTTTCTTCTTCCTTTTTTATCTTTCTCTAAATATTTTCTGTATAACAATCGCAATCACTACATTACCATCCTTGATTGCAAAAACCATATGTGACATGTTCATGTCCGTCACGTAACTCAGTACTGAGGTAAACTAAAGGATAAACATGTAAAATATCAATACTAACTCCATAGTCCACACTCCATATATATATATATATATATATAACAAGGAAAAAGAGAAACACTAAAAAATATCTCAGGCTATAGAACCATAAGCTTCATGACCATCCATTTCTTTTGGATAAGATATATGGTCAATTAAATATCTCCATTAATTCCAAAGAATAATGAACAACTAAAACACATTCATAGAAGCCATGAAAACTCTCATATGTGCATCAAACCCAATTCTCAATCTCTCAAAATCCACTCCATGGAAACCAAAGTTCCCATCTTTTCACCCTTATCAGAACCACCCCTCATTAAGCACATTAAAGCCACATGCAAGTGCCAAAGGCTTCTCCACTAGACCTTCAAACGTTGAAAATGATGTCATCAAAACCGATACTAGGAAACCCAACAGAGGGAAAAACAATGAAGATGATGAGCTTCCAAAGGAAGTTATGTACAGGGTAACAGGTAGAATCTTGTTTTGTGTAGGAGTACCAATGGGGTTGGGTTTGGCCTTCTTGCACCTTTTTGGTGAACTTAAGGAAAGACAAGTGTGGGATGCGCCACTATGGGTCCCGTTCTTGACAACATTATTAACTTTTGGGGCTTCCACAATTGGGATTGCATATGGGGCACTATCTACAAGTTTGGATTCAGAGAAGAAAGGTTCTTTTCTTGGGCTGGAACAAGTTCAAAACAATTGGGTAGAAATGTGGAAAGAAGATAGTGAAAGCTAGACTAAGATGATGATCATAATTTTGTATTATGGGTTTACAATGTTGCAAGATATTAATTATATTGTGTACCTCAAGTGATTATTATGCACCATTTCAAAAGTGAGAACCTTAGTTGTTGCTGTTGTTGCTATTGTTATCCTAACTCATAAAGCACATTATAAAACTGGTCTATCTTGCCTTACAGTAGCTTAATTTAATATTTGTGAGATTTTCATTGGATATTGAAATCAGAGTACTCTTTTGCTAGTTGGATGCAGATTTGTTAAGTGTGTGCAATCTTATAGCTCTATATTTCAAGTAGTGTGTTGTTTTTCCTCTTGAAAGGGGATGAATCAATCTTGTTATCTATCACATCTATTTCCCTTGAAAATCTTGATAAGCTCCCTTTTCTTTTTTGTCTTTTTGTGTGGAAAAATGGATGTGTAGGATTAATCTTTTCTGAAGAACAAAAATTAGCACTTAAACAAAGACTTTTAATTAAACATAATTTTAATTATTCAGTAGTTAAATTTAAATTTTCATAAAATAAATTAATATTATAAAATTTCACACAATTTAACAAGCGATCGATATTTCATTACTATACTTTATTTTAATATATCATTAATTATTTTAAATATAAATAAATATTTCAGAATATATTTATAAACATTTAAATAATTTTAATTATGTATATATATATAATTATTATAATAAGATCATAAATTAAAAATTAAGGTGATATAATGCTCTGACAACAATTTGAATTGAAATTCTTTGATCATTTAATATTTTCTTTTAGACTCTCAAGAAATGTTTATGAAAAATGCATCGCATAATTGAAGTGTGTAGTTATGCATATTTTTGTATGATTTGTTTAAGTGAATCAAAATTGGACGTTTCCCATATCCGAATCCAATGCTTTGTTAATATTTTTATCTTAATATTCCATGTTTGACTTTATTTAGTGAGATGAAATATCATTTTCATTATTATTGTCTTTAAGTTAATCAAAATTATTTTTAAATTAAGAAAATATCATCTTATTACTTTTTAATACATTTAATTATTGATATTTTTTATGGTATTGTATTAACAAACAAACTGCTTTAACATATTACAGGTCGACGTGACGGAGTGAGGTAATTTAAAATTTATTTTCTAAAACAATATATTAATTTAGTTATTAAATAATCTCTAAACTTAAAATTAAGCAATTTGATCTTTTAAAAATTTTAATTAATTAAATCAACTCTTAAAGAACATCTAATCAATGAGTTTAATTTTTTATAATTTTTAATTAGTTAATTAAATTCTTAAAAAATCTTTAATCAATCAATTTTAGTCTTTATAATTTGAAATCAATTTTTTTTAACCAAAAATCAATTTCTTTTGTTGTAATATTCTTTTATAATAATTATTATAATATTTCTTATCTCTTCATGTTACATTATCCATCTTATTATCCTTTCTCGATTTTTTTTTTCTTATTTCTTTAATAAAAAATAGCATAGTTATCAATTTTTGTTTTTTTTTATTAATGACGATATATAGGGTACACAACATTACGAAGGTTCTGTTTGAATGAACATATAAATAAGTTTTTATAAAAAAAAATAAAAAATGAATAAAATTATTTGTATATGTTAAAATTAACTTATGTTTTACTATTATTTTAGAAGATCTTTTTATTTAACTTATTTGAAACTTGAAAAGGTAAATCATTTTTAACTTATAATTTTTTTAATTTTTATATCATTTTTCTTCTTTTATAAAAAAAGTATTCATAAATTCACTTAAATAAGACAATATCATATATTTAAAGGGAGATAAAAACAATGGAAAAAAGAAATCAAACACATGAATTAAATAATTTAAACCAAACTTGTGTGTATGTGTGTATTCATTTCTCCATTTTGAATTGATAACTAAGTAGCGGGTATTGACCATCTATATCGTACAACTTGCACCTAATTTAACCCTGGGCCTTTCATGGATAGAGGTTTTTAATTAGACACTACTTATTACAATAATTCAAATTAATAAATAGTATTTCGTGCAATTTCACAAGTACTTTTATTTAGATGAAATTTTAACACGAATTCAAATAAAAGTGTGAAGAATTTATAAAAAAAAAACTATAATTTTTTTGACTTATATCACAGATATTCTTAAAATGTTGTTCAAGTTGAGTAGAACCATTGAATCATAAGTATTCTTCTCGCATTTGTTTAAATAATTTTTTTTTATTTTTTAAATTAACTCTCCAGCAAAATTTTAAAAAAAATCATTAATTTAAGCGATGATGATGTTAATTTATTGCATAAGGATATTTAGTTAATATTTGTAGAGATATTTTTCAAACAAAGTTATAATAATATGTCCAACACAACTTTCGGTGTGTCAACCTAATTTGAATTTGACATTATACAATATATACACAAATTTCATTTGCAATTTTTTAAATATGAAAAAGACTCTAATGGTTCAGATTCCACTGCCAAAGCCGTGTCCTCTTTTGAAAATGGCCAAAAAGTTAAAAATGTGATGAAGATGAGTTGATATTAGATTAGTCTATTGAGAAAAAAGAAGACCAAGATTGGAGTCAACCCTTGCAAAGTGAAATTGTTTATGGAGAAACTACTATGAGTGCACAATGGAGAACACAAGCGAGTTTTATTTTTTCATTTATTTTAATTATAATAATATTTTATTGCGTGGTCAAATTATTATTCTAATTAGTAAATAAAACTCAACACTTGTAAGTCTTTGAATAATTATATGTTGAATGTAATTTTTACTGATCTAATTACTAAATGTTAAAAGAATTGAGTAACATTGCAATGCAATTAAATTATTTATTTCATATGTTTTAGATTATGTTAATTATTTTGATGTATATTATTAATAAAATATTAAATATTTAAATATTTAAAGTAAAAATAAATTAACAAGAGACTAAATTTATACAATATTGTTAACTAAAAAATTTGAAGTGACCACATTTCTCTTTTTCTTTGGAAGAGGGACAAACAAGATTGCAATATCATAGATCACTTATCAAATGAAAATGAAGACGTCATTAGAAAGAACATATAGGAACTATATATATGCATATTTAATTTTAAATCAAACATTGGGTTCATGCATGCTTTTGGGATATGCATTTTGTATTGATAAATAAAGTGTGGTCCATAAAAAAGAGACAAACTAAGTTGCGGGTATTGACCGTCTATGTCACACAACTTGCATCTTTTTTAACTGTGGATCTTTTTTGATGGACAAATCTTAACCACTAAATATATGCATTCAAATTAACTAGTTAGTATCATATATTATACGACTATTTCTATTTAAAAAATTTTAAAAAATGATATAGTTTTCAAAATATAAATAATGACAAAAAAATGGATAAACATTATTGAAAATTGATAAAGAGATTGAGATAAGAAAAATAAGGACATTTCAGAATGAAGACTCTATTTTATCATAAGAAGTTATATATAATAAAATCAATTCAGCTTTACATACATCAACATAATTTGACTAAAATATTTTATAATATCTACGTGAGACTTTTCCCGTTTAACTGTTTCGATTGTTGTTTTGAGTATACGAAACAGAGACTAAAGCTGATAAAATTGTCACATGCATATAAAAATGAACTAAAATATTGAAACTAAGAAAAGTATTGATACGTGTACATGTAACTGTAGCATTTAAAATAAAAAATATTAATAATACATTTTATAACATACTTTTTATTATTAATTAAAATTTATTAAAAACTAAAAAATAGAAAGAAACACTAATTTAAAAATAAAATTTACATAAATTTTATAATTTTTAATACATTTTAATTAATAATAAAAAGTATATTTAAAAAAAGGATTATTAAAAATATATTATTAGCTCTATTAATTAATATGTAAAAGGTATCTTCCTTACTGACGTAAAGTACGCTCTTTCCTTTCCACTGTGAAACAAAGAAGACCAAGATAAACCGTCGGTGCCATCCTTCCCATTTGCTTTAGGAGAGTTCCCTCAGTATTATTGCACGTCATTTGTAAAATTATTTTCATTTTAAGTTTAAATAAGTTCTTTTATGGACTAAAGCTCAAGAAACACATGCAAATAATCAACTAATAATTTCGCAAAAGTAGTGTAAAATAACAATACTCAATACCTATTTTGGCAAGTTTGTTTGTATATTGATTAATTTTTCTATAAATATGATAAACTCTAATAGATTTAATAGACTTTAAATCTAATATTAAAAAAAGAAAAAAAAGATAATTTTTTTAATATTTAAAATGAGCTCAACAACTTTTTTAGAGTCTTTTGATCCAAATGGTCTAAGCTATTTTTAAGAGTAGCTAACAGGACACCCAAATAAATACTTTATAATTTTGCAGCAAAAGGAGAACAACAGGTATGGTTGCTATAAAAATCTTAGGGAGGTCTTTCCACTTCTAAAATTTTTTAAAGGTAGTATGATCATTAGAACAATTAGGGAGAGAATTAGAAATTAGCTGGGAAGCATTTTTAATAGAAAAAAATCTCATTATTAGTCAGTTGTCAAAAAATAATATCCATATCACTAGATAATATATGAGGGTTAACTTGAGAAATTAGATCACATATAGATTTAAGAAGTATAGATTTGATTTTTTCCCAGTCTCACCTTCCCTTAATAGAATAAATGGCCACAAGGAAATCCAATTCCTCAGCTGAAACATGGGAGATAGAATAGATAGTCAAATTTGTTATATTAAGAATCCAATTATCTGCCCATATTCTTGTGGACAAGTCATTTCCAATGCCTTAGCTTAGTCAAATAGAACAGAGACTCTTCCAAAGATAAGAATCTCTTTGGATATATATTATAGCCAGATCCTACTCAAGACTAAACATGTACTTATGTTTAAGGACCTAAACCCATAAGTTGTTAGAGGAATTGATTACTTTTCAACATAATTTTATTACACAGGCTTTGTTCAATAAGTGGATATCCATAAAACTTAAGCCCCTTCAGTTTTAGGCTTACAAAATTTTTGCCACTTTATAAGATGACATTTTCTACCTCCTAACGATTCCTAAATAAATTATTTACATAAGCTATTTATC